GACGCTTCGCTCGGTACTAAAAAAATTTAAAAAACAATTTTCAAAAAAATTCGTTTTTTCTCCGAGTTTAATGAATTTGTATAAAATTGGTCCGAAAGTCCGGAGAATTTTTGGGCCGGGCCGGAATTCCGGTCTCCCTTAGAAACGTGTAGTAGAAAATCAACAATATTCGTTATGCGCGCCAGTTTTGTCACAAATAGTATTATATTTGTTTTCCATCTAGATATTTACTTGATTAAACACTTTGTTCTCAACAATTCTAGTCATAATTATCAAAGTTTCCATGAAACAGAGATGGTCACATGGAAAACTTTTTATGTTCTTCTCTCAGGGCTGATCACGGTGGGTATAGGACCCAAAAGGGCTGATAAAATGATCTTCACTGTTCCAACAACCAATAACTCGATGAAAACTTCTTGGTTGTTTTAATATTTATTGTAGAAAAAAAAGCAAGCAGTGCAAAAGACTACGGAATCGACTAAAAATAGATATATGTGAGTTCCACAAAGAAAACCAATCCATTACTATGGAACCTATAAGTTGCTTTATGGCACAGGCCCCATATCGGAACTTAACCACTGTACGATTGTGTTTTTTAAGTTTTCATAAAGGAGATAATGCATGAGGTAGTTATTACATGTTTATCATGTCTATTGGCGAATATATACTTTATAGTTTTTCGTAAGTGCAAGCATGCATGGGTACAGATAACCGGTACAACCATTCATATAAAATCAAAGCTAATTAGCAGAAGATGCAAGGATTTTTTTTCGTGCGAGCTGACGCTGTGAACGAATGCTAAGTAATATTTGATCTGTGTTCTATTCATTTCTTACTTCACCGTAAAATTTTCTACATAATGTACGCTTTCAACGTAGACAAGCACTGTTCCATAGTGTTCAGAGCAGTTATCTTGCACTATTCTCTGGGATATATCATTGTTTTACGACGAATCCCCAAAATCTTATATAATTTCGATCAAGAGAAAAGTAACATTTACATTCAAACTCGCTTTGTCACATTTCACTGTTCTGAATGTGAGTGATGCTGCCAGGAAGCTTTAAAAATGCATTTGGTGCATTTATTTTCTCTTCAATTCCACGTCTTTTTTGAAAAAAAAATGTTTGTTTCATGCCAATCCTTGAATTTCTTTGATGCAATCACTTATGATTCAACGATTTGCAGGGTGTATGACATAATACGTCAAATTGTTTAATAGTTTGACTACACTACACTGCGAAGCATTACATCGATATGTATCAAAGTCTTTCTCTATGTAACTGACGGTCTTGAAATGCATGCCATTGACATCAAATGAACTTCACTATTGCATACCATTCTTCATAGAGAGAATCCATAGTAGCATTTTCTCAAGATCACGTAACTGTAACATCAAATCGACGTTTTGCATATTCGTCAAAACTGGAAACCGATACAATCAAAGCCAAATATCACTTCATTCCATGCAGAGATAGATGTAAACCTTTAAAAGGTTTCCTTTTGTTTTAGATTATGACTACTCGTCGATTGTCGAATTAATATTCGAGTCTGCTTTTAGAAAATTTTCTCATAAAAATTCTTTCGAATTTATTTACTTCCTTTCATAACATTACGGGTATGATTTGTAGCTTTTTTCATAAATAATAGCTACATAAGAAATTATTTTTACTATATTCTAAATGTAAAGACGGATTAAATGAGTAGGGAGAAGTTAGCTGTTAAATTGGTCTTTCTATTTACAACATCTTATAGGAGGTTGAAATAAAACGAAATTATGAAAACAATTGATTCGATAAAGTAAAAATAAGTGTATCAACGAATGCGCCTGCGACAAAAATTCAATCAACCCTCGCAACTTCATCCTCACACAAAAGAGAACACTTGATCAAGTATTCAAATAGAGAAAAAAATACAATGAAATAATTAGCAAATTTTTCCTATGCACTTACTGCTGTCTTCGCGGAGCAAAAGAAGTCATGTATAAACGGCTCAAGTAACAAAGCATTCATTGTGTAAGATAACTTACTATCATAATTTCCCAGGTGACGCGTGCAGAAAGAAAAAAAGACAGGCTTTAGTTCGTAAAATTATCGCGAACCATCGATGTTATGCGCTGCAAAATAAAAATTATTATTATTTCGGTGGCAAACAATGAAACTCTTGTAAATCATATCTTACGCTTTCGACAATAACAAAAACATTATACACGAAAATCGGGTCTACCGCAATCGAATATAATTTCCTAATGAACAACAACGAAGAAGATTATTTAAACTATCCTATGAGTATTGGCTCAAGGATGATCTCTTGTCAGCTGTACGCTATCTTTCTGCGACGATTTCGGCAAAATTTAAGATAACTTTGTTTATTTTTCTCATATGAGGATAGTGTGAAGCTTAGCGATAAACATGAGACCGCGCTGCTTAAATTTATTCAGTATGCTTATTGAATTCTCTCATGTGCATTCAAATAATTGATGTTTTTCTTTTCTTCATTTCATCGATGAGTTTACTTTTTGTTTTTTTCTTTGTTCGTTCTGTCATATTTTGGGGTGATTTATTTTTCAATTTATTCGATTATTTTCTTTAAAGAAATTTTTGCCTACCGCCATATTGAGGAACTTTGAACGAGGATTGCTCGAGACGCTCACATATTGCACGACTATGTGACAGCTAACTATCGCCGAAACAATTCAAAGCGTACCAATAAACAAGATTATCCGAATAAAAGCAATAGAATAAGTTGATACAAAGGTAAGTAATCATCATGGTACATTTAGGAAAAAAAAAGAATACTTACATAATTAAGATATCAATTTAGATTCGATAGACCGAAATCAGGAACTAATTTAACCAATAATCAATCTGTACAACACTGTAGATTTTACTATTTTTGTTGCATTATTCTAAATTTATCTTATGTGATGGATTCATCTGCCGAGTTAATTGCCACGACTCATCCGACGAAGGATCGAAAAATAACATGGCTGATTCTCTGTATATTTTTCATTGCTTTATTGGTTGCTTACTATTATTATACCCCAAAGTTGACATTTTCTCTACCAAATCTACATGCAACTATAGTACAAAATTTGTGTTCAAACAATGGTACGGATACCGGATGGATATCTCCGTCGCTATACACAGAAATGGACTCATATTTACAATCCATTAAATTAGCCCAAGCAAATCTCTCTAAAATATTACGCGCTGCTCACGGAAAATATACAATAGATCCATTTAAACGAGATTATATTCAATGGATAAAACAGAACGATTCTTACAATTACCCATATTCATCTTGGAAATGTACAAATACATCGAGTAAAGATCCTGACAGTCGTGAATATTGTACGCTGATCAATATCTATTTCTTATCCATCAACAACACTTACTATTACTATCGTGATCCATCTGAAAACAAGGCAAACAGTCGAGATCGATTCATGGGTTCTCATGGTGAAGTTCGAATTAACATTCTTGATAATATAGCTGCAATAAAACAATTTGGTGTTTCAGCTATTTTAACAAAACCTATGCATGTAGGTGGAGCACCCGATATGAATTATGCTCATGGGTTTCTCGAAAGATGTGGTCCTCTCTTTTGGGTTCTTGCCGAATATCAATCTCATCCATCGTATATTGATCCAAGTAATCTTCAAATATTTTATTCGTCTAACATGCATACCGATCATAGTAATAATTTATGGCAATCTATGAAACGACTTTCTGATGGAACCTATGAACATGCATCCCGATGGAATAAAGTAATCTACGCAATGTTCTCTATTTATCCATTATTAACGTATCAAAGTTTTAATAAAACAACACTTATGTTCAAACATATGGTTTTCACTGGGTTGCCGTGGAAGCGATCAGCAGCATGGGGTATTTATTATTCAGGAGAAAGACCCCTAAACTATTATCCATTTAATATGCAAGATTATCGACGAGCCTATTTAGCATTTTCTGAATGGATCTTAAATAATTTTGAACTCCCTTCCAAATTTGAATTAACACCCATCCAAAAGAGATTACAAGAGACGCGTAAATCAGAACAAGTATTCATATGTAATGGACTTTGTCAAAATCAACCTATTGGCATACAATCAAAAGAAACTACATTTACTGGAGATTGGATTGTTGTTTTGAATCGAGCTGGTGCCGGTCGTCGAGAAATAAGCAATGCTAACAAACTAGTAGAAGGCCTTTTGGCAGCATTTCCCGATCAGACAAATCCTTATTTACGTGTTTGGCCACGACAATTTAATTTCGATGATAATCTCTATGAAACAGCACGTATGGCTCGATCAACTCGTGTTCTTATTGGAACCCATGGCGCTGGTTTATCGAATACTATTTTCATGAGACCAGGTACGATCCTTTATGAAATCAATCCCCCGGGTTGCCGTATGCTGTCATTTAATTTTCGACGCTGGGCTGAGGTATTCAATTTGCAACATGCCCTATGGACTCCTGGAGATACGAATGATCAATGTTCACGTGACGCATCAACTACTGTACGTGTAGATGAAATTGTTAATGATGTGATTAATTTGGTTCACAATGAAAATCGCTATCGAAGTGGTTATTTATCACGAGCACTCGACATTCTTGTAAAAACATGAACATTGAACGTGTGAAATCAACTCTAAAAATCGATGGAACACCAATGCAGACTTAGAAGATCGACATGGCGCGTTCATTCCTATTTTCGTTATCTTCTAGTATAAAGTTATTTTTTTGAATCATTATCTAATATTTATTTTCTCGATAATGCATTTTTATCAAGTACTCGTGTAAATGCATTCTATCAAGTGTAGTAGCACCACTGTGTTGATTATTTTCCAAATGTTCTCTGGTTGTGCCAAGATATAAGATGACTTGTGCATCGAATATGAGATGAATGCAGACCTCCATAATACATTTGAAACAAAACTAGATTTTGTTTTCAATAAGAAGAGTAAAGTCTTCTTGAAATAGGCTACTTCCTGGCTAATGTAACATTCTTTTCAGTTTCAAATATATACAATCAAAAAATATGAATAGGCTGAACTGATTTTATTCGAATGTAAATAAAAAGAAACACATTCGCAAAATGAACCCATTAATTGTGAGAATTATCAGAATTATAAAGTCAAAGCTGGCGTTGGTTTTTAGTTAATTAATTAAAAACGTCACCGCTTGATGTTTTCTCTTAGAATGCTGACTGCCTACATTTAGCACACAAGACTGGTTGGTTCATATAAACAGCCGGGTTTTGTTGGTACACGTCATTAAACGGTCTTGGATTAGGTGGAAATCTTGGAGCCATCGGTTCCGCGTATAATCGAGAATTTGTGTTGGTTCGATTCGATAGACATACTCTGATGAAAGTATATATGTAAATACCGGCAAAAGCTAAAGTTGACAAAAGAATTAGAACGGCAATAGCAAGTAAACTCTTGTCTAATGATGTCAAAGTATTCAATTGACTGATGTAATTAGTTGTTGAACTGTAGCTACAATAGGAGGAACTACTGGAACTGCCAATATCGAATTCATCGACGAGGAACTTCCTACAGTAATCAATGAGTACAGCTGAGAATATGAATGCGGCAACGTTTTGAGCGAGAGCATAGGTCGCGCAGCAAATCGATGAACGATTACAACATGCTAAAAAAATAAATGAAGCTTCACATATGATTTTGTTTTCGTGATTTTCACTTTACCCACCAAAGACCAACATGGAAAAGAAAGGTTCTATATATTCTTATTTTCAACATTTTTTCTGCGAGATACTAGCAATAAAGAAACCGAAAAGAAGATTTGGGAAATCAGTTATCTGAATTCGATTATAAACTACTCTAAGCATGATGTTGTAGCAAGGGGGAAAACTCATTCAGAACCATTCAAACTGAATGTAAAACTCTACGCATTACAATTCTATGTTTTAAGACAATAGCAAACTCAAGTGAACTTTAGTCATTGTTGATTACGATATGATACTTAGAATGATACATACTAATACAGCAGGTTGCAATCCAACTGGCTGTGAAGAAGAGCCAACAGATATAGCCCATAACATGCTTTGAGCTTGCAGAAGCACAAAAAATAGCGATCTCAATATATACAATACCGCTATGTAGACCAACAGCGATCAAAGAAAGAATTAGTTGAATAATAGCAATTATTGTGACGATTATTTGTGGCCAATATCTTCCCCATGCTTCTGCAGTAGGAACAATAGATGAGGTTTGCATAATAAACTTCTAGTCGATACGAGAAACAATGAATGAATACCGAATCAGTATGTAGTTTCAATAATATATAACTTTACACAAGCGACAAATACACAATTCGTTCTGATTGCATTGAAGTGGATTGTATCGTAAAAGAAAGTCGTAAACATGTGCGCACTTACTTGTAGAATAATCGAAGAATCCATCGATCACACGACCGATAACCACAGAAGCTGCCCACTCTAGAGATCAGCTTTTACTCCCAGTATGCTCCCCCATAAAATGTAAGGATGATTAATATTTTCCTTTTCAGTAACTGAAAATTTGATGCCATTTTCCCCAATCTGCACAGGAAAATTCAGCTATAGAAAGTCCTACTAATTTGTGAAGATACGACAAGGAGGCATTTCAAATTTATTCCGAATAATATTAATTTTTCTTGTGCACTTTTCCCCATTATTAAATCTACCTGTTGGCTATATTTATCCTATTTTACGGGACGAAATCCAAAACAAAACTATAAATATTTAGATCAATACCTATGTTGATTTCTGTAGGATGTAGAGTAATCCGTTAGAAAACATCTTTCTAGGATTAATTTATTGCGTTGTAAATTTGAAGATGAAAAAACATACTTGATTATATTCGATCGTTTACAACAATATGATACACAGGCAAGAACATGTTAAGCACCTTATTTCTTATTTCAATGCAATGATTTAAATAGTGATGAACTAAATCAAAATTAGATTCAGTTTTAGATATCCTACACCAGTCTACGAGTAGCTACAACGATTTATTGTTGTTTGGATTTTAATACACAATGACTCTCACAATAGCGTTCCTTTTCAATTTCAGCACGCCTTGCTCTCGTCATAATGCAAGAATAATAATAATAGGATCATTTGCTGTATATCTGATTATTTTTTTCCGTCGAACTAATTGTTAAATTGATAATTAATTTTTTCAACTCGAATTATTTCACAAGAAATACATCAACAAATCCAAATATATCAAAATAACTTCAGTTAACACGAACTCAGTCTTTCTCGCATCAAATGTTCGATATTATCCGATCGTAGTTGAAAAATAAAAAACATTCTTTTGTTCTGTCATTTCACTGAATAATTTATTTTATCGAAGAAAATCGTAAAGTCATAAAAACGCTACTTATCCAATGTTTTCAACAGTTAATCATAGAATTTTTTTTATTGCTTTTTTTGTTCCAATGGTGGGCGTTGATATAAATAAATCAATGGCCCAATTAATGGAAGAAAGCAAATTCGAGAATAATAATTATTAGTGATTTTTCTTCGCTTTAAATCATCTTCCACTAGGGCAGGAAATAAAAATGAAACAACAAAGAAATCGATCGTCATTATATGAATAAAATTATGCGTTCGGAATTCATGAAGAAATGCATGGATATCACCAAATTTTAACGCAAACAATGCGAAGCCAATAGCAGCAATCATTAAAAGAATAGTAACTAATTTTGATTCAAATATACGAACAAATAAATTTAATCGAAATTGTTTTGCATCTTTACTTCGACGTAAAGCGACGTATGGCAAAAAAATAAAACCACCTAATGCCATAGCTAAGAGTGAAGCTAAAGTTCCGTTCAATCGTTGGTTTTGACCATCAACTAACAGTACTGACATATACACACAAGGCCATATACCTAGATTATCAACAAAGGATAGAAATGGCAATCAAATGAAATCGATCAAGCGAGATATATAAGAGAATTCTTCAGTCAAACAATGTATGAGAAAGAATCTATATTTCGAATAGTTATTTTTACCTAAAAACCAGAATAAAGCTATAACATATGGATCGATATTGTTCCATGGTCCAAACATCAGTTCTCTAATATACACAGAGGTCGATTTCGTTGTTTCATTATGTCTAGGTGATAAGAATATACTATAGGCTAGAAATATACACCAAATAATCCAAAATATCTTATTAGATATCATCGCTGTAATTTCTTTTTTTTCTTTCTAAAATAAAGTTTTTTTTTTTGTAAAAAAATTCTCGTATCGATATTTTATTCAGAAAATTCATTTGTTCAATGACAGAACAATATTCAGCTAGGAAAATATAGTCTTACAAAGATTGACAGTGTTAGAAATAAATAAATAGGAATCATAACAAGAAAATATAAAATTATGATTGGTTATAAAGAGTTTCCATGTACTAATCTTTTCATTTTTTCGAGTGCTTTCGTCACAGTGAGGAGATATAACGCCATCTTCCGAATATCCACAGATTTCTGTTGAAAACTTAATCAAATGTGCCTTCTATGATAGATCCTATGTCTATACAGTAACAAGGCGATGAAGATTTTCTCTCGGACGGTAAATACTGAGAATATTAAAATCCTAATGACAACGGATAACACTTATTAACGTTTTTTCAGGTAAACCGACACTCACGTCTTCAAAACAAAGTATATCTATAGTATAGTTTTCACAGGAACATTTAAATATCTTTCCAAAATTTATCAACTATTCTTGAATCTGAAAACCAATTTATTCTCAACAGAATAATTTCATAGATGTATTCCATATCATAGCCAACGTTTAATGTTCGTTTTTCTTTTTTGTTTCTAGAATAGGATTAAATGTATTGCAATATATGAAAATGATACTGACTTTCTATTTTGTTTTTATTGAAGAATGCACTTTAAAGCATCATTCGTATTTTAGAACCAAAAAAAGGATTCATTTTTCTTTCAATGCAAATGATGATCATGGTGACGAAGTATTGCTTTGTACTTATTCTTGCCAGGTAAGAAGAAAAAAGCTTTCTTCTGCTATTAATTACTATGAGATTTAACTGGCATCTATTTTAGTTTGTCAGGTTCGATTCTTAATCTATTTTAAGTATTCTAAAATTCAAATTTAGCTATTCAAGTTCATTCAAATTTCCAATCGTGTCAAGGAAAGTCTCAATATGATCAATGCTCAACGAATGGCGTATGCGGATGTTTGCATACAGCAAATAATGCAAATAACAGTATTTGTGCTTTTCTTTGGGTGACGTGTTCGGAATTAGTTGGATGTGCATCTCCCAATAATATGTGCTATCAACCAGACCATATTTGTATTCATCATCCACGATGTTTTGATGGTCCCATGTGTTATCCTTTGTCAAAAACGAAGGAAGATATATGCCCATCAATAATAAGTAAGATAAACCAAAATCATTATTTCAGATGGTTGAACGGTATAGTAGAGAGATTTATATTTTCATCACAATTTATGAATTTCCTACTGAGAAAATAGTGTGGTTTTTGCTTTTTTGGTATAGTATTCTTGGATATGTTGCTTATGCGATTGAAGTTTTATAATGAATGTTTTTTTTTCAAGAAATGAATTTTCTTTATAAATAGTGACAACATCTACAACAACGATGAGTACAAGTACTACAACATTGACACCAAAACCCATTGATGGCATTTGTGAGAACGCGGCATGGTCTACGAATGGTACTTCTGTAGCTGGTAGAAGCGATGGCCTAGGGTCTGCACTCGATCGGTTGTATGGTCCTTGGGGACTTTATGTTGATGACAATGAAGTTGTTTATGTGGCCGATTCAAAAAATCATCGTATAGTTAAATGGGAACCAGGTGCTACAGCTGGTCAAATAGTCGCCGGCGGAAAAGGAAGTGGAAACAGTAGTGATCAATTCAATCATCCGTCAGACGTTGTTGTCGATAGAGATGGAACAATCTACATAAGTGATACAGAAAATCGACGTATTCAACAATGGACTCGGGGAGCCAAGAATGGAAAAACAGTTATTAAAGATGTCTCATCTCCTGTAGGCATAACACGAGATCAACAAGGATTACTGTATGTATGTGACTGGGAAAAGGGCGAAGTAAGAAAATGGCGTGTAGGTGCGACAGCTGGGCAAATCGTTGTGTCGAGACTTGGTGGTCCACGATTTATATTTATTGATCAAAATCAATCCATTTACGTAGCCGAACAGCGTCGTGATCGAGTAGTAAAAGTCAATGATGCAATAGTCACACAACCTTCCATTCTTGCTGGTGTATCTCTTGGTGATAATTTAAATCAATTATGGAGTCCGTACAGTGTTATTGTCGATGCATCAGGTACTCTCTATATTGCCGATACTAATAATCATCGAATCATGCGTTGGGCACGTGGAGCTCAATTCGGAAAGATTATAGCTGGCGGACGAGGAATGGGTTCCCGATATGATCAATTGAGTTATCCACATGATTTATCATTTGATCTCAATGGGAATCTCTATGTAGTTGATTATGGAAATCATCGTGTGCAAAAATTTGTCATTGATAAAAGTTTATGTTAATAAACTCAATTCAATAATGAATAAAAGGAAAAAAAACGAGGATCATTATTTCTAGTTGCATTGGAAAACTTAGTTTCATAGTGAAAAACCTTGAGATCTTGTTTTGTGAAACACGATCTCAAAGGAGTGTTGAAGTATATAGGGTAGAAATTTGGACCCCCCCCCACCCCCACCGCANCCCACCCCCACCGCAGACCGTTACAAAGAAATTAATTAATTATTTTCTCTGTAACGCGGTCTGTAGTGGTTTTTGAGTTCTCTGTAACGGTTTGTGATGGTTTCTAGAGACTCCATACATTATCATACAGGGTGTAACAGAGAAGGTCCACAGACCATCACCGACCGTGATTGACGGATTCCAGAATAGGACTTTCATCCTGTTTCACATTTTAATATCACAGGGATTACGATAACAGCTTTTTTTAATTGATTTATGAGGAGAAGTTCAGTCGTTCGCAATGGCTTGATATCTATTATTTGACGGATCGTAATTCATCATTTTTCATAGCAAAATGAATGTCATTATCATATAAATCTCATCATTCTGAGTCACGCTCAATATAAATTAAGCAATGAACAACATTTGGAAACTGTACTCAGTGTGAATTGTCTATTTTTATTATTTTATTGTTTGCATGTTCTTTTTCCCCCTTGATCATGTCAAACCTCTTATAATATGTCTATTATTTGTCTACGATTAGGAAGATTTCTATTATAAGAATGAAATCCGTAGAAAGAGAATTGCGCGTGTGTCTAGATACAAGCGATATCCAAGAAAACAAAAACATATCATATTTATATATAGTATAATATATTGAAAAACAGATCTTTCAAAATAGCAGTTTTAAGATGGGGTGAGAAGAGTGATGGCTTCATCTTGAGTAATATTTTAGATCGATTGCTCAATAGTTTAGAGTACGGATTTCATTGGATTGTGTCGATGAATTATTCATAAACACGCACACCCACACCCGCCTCGTGATAAAACAAATTTTGTTTTCATTGATACCTATGGAGTACCCCAGGCAAAAGAATTGTCAATGTCGATTTTCGGGAAACAAAGTTGAAAAAAGTGATCAAGAACGATCCCTGATTAATAACTGATAGAAATAATTCAAATCTAAGGGGGATCACGAAATGACCTCATCCGCCCTCCTCCTTTAGTTTATCGTCTAAAAAATTCATGTTGGTTCTCTTAAAATCTGCATCCTTTTTTCAGTGTTATATAGTTGCCATTGGCTTAGATGATACTGAAATATTCAAAATAGTTGAATATAAGTCGCTTTTTACCTATAGGTAACAGATTAAGACTGAATCATTTTCAGTGCAGCAGCTATTGACATAATGCTTCATTCCAACATCCTATATCTGTTGCCCATCAGTCGGGGAGCCGTTTCAGTATGTCTATCACATATTGTGATCGTAAGAATATATGATAGAAATATAGCGATATTTATCGATCCAGTTTGTCTTCATCAAATCAGAATATGTATTAAGGGAGTTTTCATGAAAAGTTAAACTACAACTGTTGTGTTTCATGCTAAGATTTCTTAGACACTGACATATTCAAGTGCTAGATTCTCGAGCATTAGTGTTTTAACTCTCATGTTCTAAATTCACTGTTTGAAATGTAACAAAAAACAGTACCGTTAGAATAGCTTATCGCACTTTCAGTCTCTGAAAAATGTTGAGACATGATGGTTTGTCAATTGCAGAGAGTTTAAAAAACTGAACAGACCGTAGAATAAATGGGAGCATATTATTAATAGATCCGAAAATTAGCTCCTTTCGTACAAATGAAATTCTGTTTATCCCCTGTCGCCTCTTTTTATCAACTGCGCCGCAGTTACGCGCAGAGCCAATTTTACGTTGCAGCTATGCGTAACTACGACGTATTGATTGTAGCGAAGATCTTTATAAGAAACTACGCTAACTAAGATGTAGATCAACGTAACTGCGGCCGAGTGATAGCAGCGTACGGTTTGTTGTAAGTGTAACAAGCCAATTGTAAATAATTCCTTCTTATTTGTAATTGGCCACACTGGAGCACAAAAACTTAGCCACAGAAAGGCAGTTTTCATCACACTTCAGTTCATAAATCATTCTACTATCAACAGTAAAATACATAGCCCAAAAAGATTAAAAAAATATCTAATCTTTTAATTTTTCTGTGCTTAAAAATTTTTGTTTTAACTTCCAATAAAAATGCAAATAAATTGAAAATCTACTCTATGCCATCTCTTGTAATAAATGCGCGGTAGCTGTGATGGCAGTGTGACTCATAGTTGCGAAAAGGGCGACATACTTGCGCGCAACAACGGTCTTTTCATCACAGCTTCATCGTAATGAAATACATCGGGTGCAACTCAAAACAATATCTTAAAATTAAAACAGCAGATATTCATATTAAAATTTCTGTATGAAAAATAGAATATACCAAAAGTTAACAAAATGCAATTGAAAAATGCGTCTACTATCTTACATAAAAGAGAGAACTGTTTACATGGGAAATGGTAAAAACAAGAGAAATTGGCCCACAAGACAAATACGTAATAGACGGGCAGAAAGAAAGAAGGAATGTGTGAGTGATGCTCACTCAGCATATGGTTGTCCCTTAAGATGTCTTGAGTATGCCTTAATACAAAGTTGCTATATTCAACGAAAATGCTTGAAACGTATAGATTATGTTACGAAAGCGAAAGATAGTGTAAAAACTAAGTAAGATAGTAAATGTCACCTTTTTGTTCCAAATCATCGATCATTTACTCAAGTATACCATACAGTGAGTAATAGAATCAACATTGTTACGTCATAATTATTCTTCAGTGCCAACACGACGTCAATTTCAAAAAAAGAGTGAATCATTCATTGTGCACACGCCTGTTTGTCTATCGTTAAAGAAACATGATGCAAATGAAAGAACGTGGTAGAAATAAAAAGCTGTCCTCTGTACATAAAAGGTAGACAGTGTGAAAGTGACTTAAGGTTTACTGCAATATTGCCATAGTTATTTTATATCTCAAAATTATCAATGCTGGAAAATTTTCTCAACAAGACTGATATCACATCACAAGATTCGATGCCTTGCACTATTGAATCATGGCAAATGTAAGTTTGGTTTTGGGGGACTCTTCTGAAATCTTTACTTTGAGAAGAATTTCTATAACGAGGAAAGGATAAACGGACTATAATTTATTCCTAAGTTATTAAACAGGTGTAAACACTTCAATGTCTTCATAATACATTCAGATTACTTTTCACATATAGATCCACTGAAAATAGAACAAACTTAGAGCAAGTATGTGTCGTATGTATGGAATTGAAGCTACCTGAAGACTTTCAAACATGCTACAATAGTAATTGTACACATACAGATAGAACAATCTGTGATAATTGTATGTATAAATATGTGCACAATAATTGGAATATTGGCTACGATATTTATTGCCCAGAGTGTTCTATTCCCTTGTCTCATATGGCTGTCAAATTGATTCTTTTCAACTATGATGATACAAATTTATACGAACGTTATACAAAATTTGAACTTGACCGGATTCTCGAACAAAATCCAGAATTTGTTTGGTGTGCACATGGCTGTGGTTCTGGTCAATTGAATGAAGGTGCAACAATGAATAATACTATTCAATGTGTCAATTGTCATAAATTGACTTGTTTTACTCATAAATGCCCATGGCATGATGGAATGACATGCGACGAATATGATATGCCTCGCATCAACGGGGAGGTGCACGCAAGCCAACGCTGGATCAGTGTACACACCAAAGAGTGTCCCAAATGTCATTCTCACATCGAAAAAAACGAAGGTTGCGATCATATGACTTGTTTCAAATGCAAACACGAATTCTGTTGGGAGTGTTTAGTTTCCTATTCAGGTATTAAAAGGCATGGTGCTTATTTACATAATCGTAAATGTAAACACTATCCTACAACGGACACACGTAATTTTTTTAAGCGTATAATCGATCTCTTCTAGAACAAGATGTTCTTTTCTTTCTTATTTCGTTTGTATATTTGATGAATCGACTATGATGAATTCTAATCATGTTAATCTCATCACTATAGTGTATTTGATACTTGTATATGAAAAATAATAAAATTTCATATTTTATCTCTTTTTCTTATCAATAGTTCCATTAAAAATAATGTATCAATGCAATGAGTAGTAGAAATCATTTAATAATATCCGGCGTCAGCAAGGCTGCCAGATTGAGAATTCAAAAATAGAGAAAAGGTTTCTTAAAATCAGAAAAATATGGGAAAGTGATTATTTTTAATGCTTAAAATAACTCATTGTTTTTCGAATAACAATATCATTTATCCTATTTCTTCTTATCAATATCACTTTCACTTATATTTACATCACTCATAAAATCATTCATACTTGTATTTTATTAAAGGCTGAGCTTTCCGACGGTAATCGTGAATTTGGTCGAAAGTAAAAATGCCGAAAAGAAGATTTACTTTTTGTAATTGCAGGCGATCACAACAGGTTGAATTCCTGTGTTGGTTGTAATCATCTAAATGTGTAGGGTTTTATCAATTTTATGAAAGGTGAAGATAGCCCGAGTCGACTATTCCATGAGAAATACTCGAGAAGTTCCCGAAATTTACAGAAGGTGGATAAAAAAAGAATTCCTTGGCGGATGTATGAAAGCGCACCGAAATATGTTCGACGTTTTCTTTAGTGTTGATGAAAATATATAAGAATTGGATTGTTTTAATGAAATGTTTTCATTTTTTTTAACAGAAATTCCTTTTGAGTGATAAACAAAATGTAGGCTTCTGTGTGACTCTTCTCAGCGATAAGTCATGATTTAGACGTGACTTATCATTTTGATTCGTGGGACTGGCTCGACGGAGCGAAGCCTGTTGAACGCCTTAATTACCAATTCTTTTAACAAAATAAAATGTTTTGAAGAAAATGAATATTGACCGACGCAGATTGAAAAATATTAATAATGGAGGAAAAAAAAGAGTATAACCCTTTAGTACTTATCAGGTCTATATTCAATCGTCTGAGAATTTTGTGAAAGTCCCTGGGAATTTCTAGGAAACGATTTAACTAGCGAAGCGTATAAAATGCATTAAACTTCAAGGATTTTTTGGTGCATCAAAACCGAAAAACACAAGAACAACAGCATTACAAAATTGAATAAACACGTTGTACGATAGATATAGCAATGATTTCACTACAGTATCTGATCTCCTTAACAGTTTGTCTTTAATTGTAGCTAGCAAGAAATTATAATCAAACGAATAGTACATTATTTAGAGATCGATCAACAATTATGTTGAAAACTGTTAGATTGCCATTTAGTCGTCTTTTCTCAATAATAAACGTTTGATTGGTTTTCCGAGCGAAAAAAATATATGGCATTATCTTCTCAGTTGCGACATTTTTCTTCACGAGTAAATTCAAGATAATCCTTTCAGAACAGCAAAAATGTATCCTATTAAGTTTATGACGCTGTACCACTCAATTATAATAGCGAAACAAAGTGTGCGCAATATATATGCAGTGGCGAGTCACTGTTAAACTATTTTAAAATTCAGGCTTGATAAAAATTCTAACCAATCCTTCTTTGGCTGGTTTCTTCTCTCAGTTAGAAGTTCGATTGAGTTACGAAAATACGTTTGTTTATCAATACGTATGTTGTATTCATGTCACATAAAAACAACTAAAACAATTTTCAGTATTTTTCTCTATTCTTTTTGTTTCTGCGTCACCTGATTATTTTTTCTTACTCTCACGACCCCCATTAAATTCAATTTGTATATTTTACTCAAGACCTTAGCAGTTCTATTGAAATTGTGATTTGCCATTGTTTTAAGATCTCATGTATTTTAGTTGTCATGAATACAAAGTGATGTAATGCTTATTTCGTTTCTATTTTATTCGAAATGAACAGATTTTTACAAGTTGAGTAAATGAATAGAAAATTGACAAAAGCTAAAGAGCACAAATAAAATTATATTCCTTGCAACTTTAATTCTAGTATTCAGTTAAGAACCTGAAATTAACTCGTAGAGAGGTTGTTGACAAAATTGTTTCAAAGTTCTAGAAACGATAGGACACGTCAATTTTCACCATATGATTCCTGGTAAATTATGACCGATATTGATCAAGAGGAATGGGGCAATTCGAGTCTTTTTACTTCGGTGTCCGAAGTTTCGAACGAGGAAACAGTTGCTTTTTCAGGAACGATTTCAAAATGGCTAAAACGTACTCTCTATCGGAGTGGACCTGGAGCAAATGAAATCAATAATGACTCGTCGATAAGTGTTAATCATGCTGCCGACGGCTGTGCTTTTATTCAAAAATATGCCATCGATGGATCATCGCAAGCAGTTCGGTTTCGAACTTCATTTATCAAGTATCGTGCTTACAAAGAAGCTATCAAACATGGACATCTGACTACTCGACAATTCGGCACCGATCCGTGTAAATCAATCTTTGGTTGATTTCAAGCAATATTTCGTCGTAACGATATCCAAACACTCACACATGACACAAATGTTACTGTACAAAAAGTGAACAACGAATTGGTGGCATTAACTGAAACGATAATTGGTAACATAATTCATAGTGATACATTGGAAACAGTAGGACTACTCACTACATTACCCTATACACAACCAGTTGAATCCGAAATCTTTACTGCAACTACAGCACATGTTATGCATGACGACAATCGCAATATGACAGTAGGCTATGCTTCACGTATTACACCACGAAACACTTAGGTGGGTGTGACTAAAACGTGGCGTCAACTGAAACCGAGCTTGATGATGATAAAATTATTTCGGTAAATGACCGTTTTCTCTTGTTCACTAGTGAAATGAGTGAACGTGGTAAGAAGTTTAATCGCCGGATCCATTCGAATACAAGATCGTTTCGTTTTCCTTTTGAAAAAGTGAGTTATATGCATTCGGCCTCGCTAACTGAGAAGTTTTTAGCATTAAGTGAAATTCCACTTCATTTCAACTGATTTAGTGCTCTTCGAACACTACTCAGTAGTACAGCTATTACGGATATGTTCAAATGGAATGGTGACAATATGCCAACAATATTCCACGTGATCAATTTAGATACCGGTGAACAAATCGCTCAAATTCCTGGACCAGCATGTTTCAATTGTCATGACATAAATACATTTGAATTGAAAATGGAAGATACTACTACAATTGTAGTTGATATTTGTGCCTACGATGGCCATCGTCTTATTGATGAACTCTATTTAAAAAATTACGAAACAACGAATTACCATCTGGTGCTGGCTTAGTTCGACGATTTCATTTAGATTTGACGACAAATAAATGTATAGAACCATATGCTGGAGCACGGACAAGTCAAGTAGTATATCCTATTAGCTATGCGAATAGTCTTGTACCGGTTCAATTTGAATTGCCTCGCATCAATCCATATCACATTGGAAAATCGTATCGTTACTTTTATGCAGCGCGTTCTCCGCCTGACCGGTTTCTCGACGCTTTGATTAAAGGTGAAATAGAATCAAAGAAAGAATGTGCTTTTTGGGTAGAGACATTTACGCCACCTAGTGAACCAATTTTCGTTCCGAAACCCCATGCAAATGGTGATAATAATAGCATTGAAGACGATGGTGTCGTTCTATCAGTGGTACTTGATCAGAAAAGAAAACAATCATTTATACTTGTGCTAGATGGTAGCACATTCACGGAACTCGGAAGAGCTTATGTGTCGATCCACATTCCTCCATCATTCCACGGAAATTTTTATTGATTTTAAGATAATTCTTTCATTTTTCTTTAGTTTTCGATTCATATTCAAAATTATTAAATGCATTGTTTTTGAAAGTGTGTTTTATCTGAAGATCTTAATAAAAGTCATTGCTGATAATCTTATACCAGACTCTCCTCATTGGACTATTTCTAAGAAGATCTGATAGATCAAATTTTTTCCCTCATATTTTATTTCATTTCAATACAATCTCAATTCGTACTTTCATATTGAATAGATTGAAATCAGATTAGTTTTTGATGAACTATGTCGACATAACTCGAATTGTAATAAAAAAAGATTTCTATATGGATGAAATTCATAAGCACTAAAGTTATCTCGTTCAATATAGTGATGAATTTTTTATCATACTGAAACGAAGTTGAAAATACTTACAGACATATTGCTGATCTCCAGGGTTAATTGTGTTGTCTGATTAAAACTACTTTTAATGAACATTTCTATATTTTCCTTTATGAAATTTCCTTTAAAGAATAATGATGTATGTAAATAGCTCATTAAAATATTTCTAGCACAACCGATTCCGACATATTTCATGTCAAAAGATGTCGTGCGAATATAAATACACATATTTCATAGAGATCTTTTACTTTTTTGGTTTCGTTTTGATTATACTTTTTTCTATTTCATTCTCTTCTGTTCTTCCGCAACGATTTCGCCAGGTGCTTTTTATGTTGCAATACTTGGCGAAAAATAGAGGCTTACTATGTAAAACAGCTATAGGTATCCACGGCTTAGTAAAAGAATATGACTCAATGAGGGGAAAAAATGCTTGTTTTTATCATAAAGTATATAAAAAGAAACCCACCACCACAAACAAGTTCATTCTTTTTCAAATATATATTGCAAGTCTGAAATGGTTGTCGATAAAACTCATTACGACGTCCTCGGTATTGACGAAAATGCAACACAAGAACATATCATTAGTGTAAGCTTTTTTTGCGACGATTTCTCGACGCGGGAATACTAAGATTATACTTATATGCATGGCGTCGAGTATTGTTGAATGCATCTATGATAGAAACTATGCTTGGATTGTTCCCTATATTTGCTTTTCTTTTATGTTCATAGGCTTTCCGACAAAAATCGAAAGAACACCACCCCGATCGTGGTGGTACTCATGAAATGGTATGATTATTTGCATGTAGGTAACAAATAATATACTTCTTCTATTATTTAGATGCAGAAAATTAATGCTGCCAAAGAAGTCTTGACTGATCCAAAGAAACGGGCAATCTATGATCGATATGGATCCGAAGGGCCATCGTCGGGTATGGCTCATGGACACTCTACTGGTTTTCCAGGATTTTCAAGCGGCTGTAAGTTATTAAAAATTATGAATATTATTGACTCGATGTATTTGCTTATTTTCAGCTCCTGATATATTTGATTTCTTCATGCGAGGAGCAAGTGGTCGAGAACCAACAATAGCGTCGAAAGGCAGCGATATTAAACACGCCCTGCAGTACATAAGCAGCCTGTTTTTCCTTTCTGTTATTAAAGTCATGTCCTGGATTTTAGAGTTTCATTAGAAGAATTGTATTCTGGCCATACGAAAAAAATATCTGTTCCTCGCGAAATAATTTGTACAGCTTGTGATGGGTTTGTATATACTGATTTTCGTTTTTGGAATATTCTGGTGTAATTTTGTTCGTAGTACCGGTTCTGTAGATCGCATCAATCATGACTGTACAGCATGTAAAGGACAAGGTGTTGAAAATTTAATATTTCGGACAGGTCCATTCATTCAACAGTCGCAACGTAGCTGTTCATTTTGTAGTGGACTGGGTACAAGGGTCAATGCCAAAAATCGCTGTAAAATATGTCATGGGAACAAACTTGTTCGTCAAGAGAAAATTTTGGATGTAGATATTTCACCTGGAAGTCCCGACGGAGGAGCAATCAAATTTATCGGAGAAGGAAACCAGATAGTAATTTTTTTCAATAGTAACTTACTTCATTCTTTCTAGTTTTCTCGTTTTAGCCCCAAGGAGAAAATGGCTCATTGTATGTTGTACTACGACAAGCACCACATGCTATCTTTGAACGAATAGGTGATAATCTAACGATGAACTTAAAGATCAATCTTTCTGAATCGTTATGTGGATTCCAGCATATCGTCACATTACTTGATGGGCACAAGATTCGAATTAATCACCCACCAGGAAAACCAATTGTGCCTAAAAGTTACCGTTGTATCAAAGGTCAAGGTATGCCAAATAGGCATACGCACTCTTATGGTGATTTGTTCATTTATTTCGATGTGGAATTTCCGGAAGACAACTTCATCAAAAATGAATCACAACTAAAAGTGAGTTTTCCTTCTTGTCAACTTAGCTTATACCGTTAGCATCTATTGTTTCAGCAACTGGAAGCAAGCCTGCCACCAAAAAGACTAGCTAGACTGAATAGTACAGAAAAGTATGAAGAAGCTCAAATGATTGTGAGTGAGCCTCCGCCAAAGAATTCACAACAACAACAACAACAACGCTTCGAAAATGGTCACCACTATCATAGAACAGAACATGACGACGGTGGCGGTACTAATGGTCATCCCCAAACTGTTCAATGTGAAACACAATAGATATTGATGAATTCTTCTAATGCTCCAAAACATGATAAAAAAATCCTTTCAAAGTTCCTCCATTATATATAATTTCATTTTTGACAAAAATAAAGAACGTTGTCCTAGTGTTATTTTGCGCTTATAAAATACCATTGAATTCAATGTAGGTCCATCTTGAACATGTTCATGAGCAGCCTATGTGCGAAATGCAACGCGTGCTGTTTGAATATCTTTCGCAAGAAAAGCATGTATCGCATTCTAAATATACTGCACATGTCGGTGTCTTACCACTTTTGTTTTCATGAAATCCACGAGTTATTCACAACCTAACGTAATGCTCTTTAGAATTCAGTACTAAATCATTGCTACACTCACGGATCTGATTACGAGTAAAATCTATCACTAATTTTAGGGTTGCTTTCTGTTAGCGTTAGTAGATGGCACTCACTGACGCTAAACGTTTGTTCGTGTTATCTGTTGTTATGATCTCTATTTTGATTTGTTACGTAATAGTTTCGACTATGACTAATCCTCGTGATTGATTTTCGTTCGCTATTTGCGCAGTTGTTGATGTTCTATCGTATCGAATACTCGATACTTAATATATTCTATATATGATACGACGACAAAACCTATTATTGAAACATGTTTAGCTCTCTATTTTTGGCAGACTAAATATTAGTTCTACCATTGCTACATAATCCCCAAAACGAGAGCTAACACTTTCAAAATTCGATCGTGAAATTCCTTGATATTTTGGACAAGAAAACAGTTGATTGAGTGCCTTCACTTCTTGCGAATACTTTGAGCCAAACGAAGAGAGAAGAAAATGATGAAATGCATGATGTAATCATATTTCAAAACAAGCTCATTGTCAAATGCATTTCATAATTACTTTTTGACACACATATGTACCGAAAGAAAACAAAAAGAGTGTGTACACTACACAATAGCTTCTGGATGGGCTCGAACCATCTATCCTCCAGTTAACAGCCGGATGCGTTTCCACTTACGCCACAGAAGCTTGATGATCTAACATTTAACAGCTTTTTAAAATCTTAGCCATATAACACCAATATATTTTGACACTGTTCTTCTAGAAGGTTTTTATTTTGCCGAGATTATATATCAGCGCAGCACATTTATATACTTACTTTTGATTAGATCAATATTAGCTAATGATAACAAAATTGACTGCCTGTCTAAGAGACATATTGACTGCGAGAACAGAAACTCAATAACTTATCAACGAATTTGATATTTTTCTGGGAGGTGCTTGAAAGCTATTTCTGAATTGAATTGACAAATTCATTGCTTGTTTGAAAAGTGTATTCGATCGATTGTCTGCATACTACTTAAATAATTTCTTGGAAGTTTTTCATTAAAAATTCGTTCCATGCTACCACAAAATATTCTACATAAGATTGTCTAAAAATCAGTTTTCACCACACATGCAAACAAAAGTCACACAGAAAAACTACCAGTTAATTTGAAGTAGTTTTTGCAAAAGCCTTGATATAGTAGTGAATGTCACAACGAGCACTCTAGCTGGTTACAGAATATTTTGAAAAAAATCAAAGACTCATGCTGAAATTGAAATAATAGTTTGAATATATATGGTGATTGGATAATTGTGTACCTTCTGAAATAGAATGAATGAACGAGAAAATCGTTTTTTACTCAATTGTTTAACTACAAAGCAGAGCTAGGACGAGTACTTTTGAAGAAAAAAAGTACTTAAACAAGAAATTTTTTGCCAATTCGGAATAGGCCCATACCCAATAGGCTCATTTTGTTCACCTTAACGACCTTTATCAGATACATTGATACATAATTCATGTACAATCTCTGTACTACAGAAAAGCGCGCAATACTGCAAAAATCGCAAATACTTTCAAGTACAGGTGATTTTTGCAGTATAGCGCGATTTTCTGTAGTACGGATATTGCACATGGAATATGTATCAATGTATCTGATGAAGCTCGTTATGGTGAACAAAATGAGCCTATTGGGTATGGGTCTATTCCGAAATGGCAAAAACTTTCTTGCTTAAGTACTTTTTTTCTTTAAAAGTACTCGTCCCAGCTCTGCTACAAAGGCTAGTAATGTGCTTTCGAACCAAGCAACAATAGGATTATATTATTAAAAGATGCTTAAATGAATCATGAATGATTCCAGATTATATTTGATGAAAATAGACAAATCGATGAACAATGATTGATGCTGACAGAAAGAACTACACATCTAAATCTACTTCACGATGCTGAGATATGAGTATTATGCTAAAACCGAACCAACACACGAAGGCAAGGTCAAGGTCGTGATTTTGACAAAAATATATGGTAAAGTCAACATAAAGACCAGGTTTTGTAGTAATCCATACTCCAATAACACCACCAACCATATAGCAGACCAAAATGAAAATGAGTGATAATAGACGAAGCGGCTTTTTGCGGTAGAAACGCAGAATATAACATAGGTTCCCACCAATTATTGCGCGGCCGAAAATGCATTGAATGATTGAGAATATCAGTATAGGGTACATTAGAATAGCAATGGAATAAATGATTAAGTAATTAGAAAGCTGCAAAGCATGAAAATATAATAGTAGCGACTCATGCTAATTTTTAACAAAAGCCTAAAGGAACTCTGACCACATAATTGAGAATGTATTTGAATTGGGTAGAAACATAAAATAAAAACAAAAAATACATAAAGAAAGAAAGATTATATCTGGTTCCCAATCCAAGCATTGGTATTGGGAGTAATAAAAGTGTCCCTAATACCAAATATTCGATACGAATATGTACCACCTTTTAATCACTTTGACATAATCAGAATTGCTAGTGACTCTTTACAAAAACGATCAATTGTTTGAGGCAAAAGTGGTTCAATGTGAAATGATCCACTCGATAAATTTTTGAATCCATCAATTAAATAATCCATGACGATTCTTGAAGTCATTTTATTAACAATTAAGTGTTCGAGGTTCACAAATATGCGATATAGATGTTCAATATTAAGACTAGTTTTGCGTCCATCAAGATTGTTTATTAAACGTTCTCGAATTTGTGTTAGTGATAGTACATATGTCGCGCATTTTCAAGAAATTCTTTCATATTACAATACAATCCTATTACCTTCAAAAGAGGCATAACAAGTGGAATAAGTACAGCTAATGATGGCTCGATTGATGAATGTAAAATCAAACAGTCTACTCGATTGAGATCAATTTTCATTTGAAGAATTTCTAGTGGAATGCTGCTTCGAAAATCTAATAGTTTAACATGATGAAAATGATGCAAATCTTCTTCTGACATTTCTGATAGTATAAGATGATTTATATGCTCATAGAAGAGTGTATTATCGGGTGCAGTCGAATAAATAGGTGGATGAAGCGGAAGCTTCACAGTAATGCCAGTGCAATATGGCACAGTGAGTAGACAATGTTCTTTATAGGCAATGTACCAACGCTTGTGTTCGATCCAAGACCAAGAACGGAATGATTCGAGGACTAAATCAATTCGATCTACTTCAATAATAAACTTAAAATCAAATGATATTAAATTCATCGCCAGTATTTCCCAGCAATGTCCATTTGCAATATTACCATTAGCTGGTCCAGTTAAAACCAAATGTCGAAGTTGAGGCAACTTTGAAAGAAGCAGTTCAATTGTATCCATTGATAAAGCTAAAGTAATTTAGTATATCAAATGTACGTATATAAATTTATGATTATCTTACATGAATTCGGCACAATGCCTTCATTTACGAGACTTTTTGATTCGTTTAATAAAATTAACTTGTAAAGATTTGGTAGCCGACGCGGATCTTCAATGTCAAACAACACAGTAGTTAGCTGAATGTTGAGTGATCGAAGTTGTTGGCTTTCTTTGAAAATTTTTGTTAAATATTTTTTATCGCTCTCATATATTGTGAAGTGTCACAGACAAGAAATCGGTATCGTATCAGAAATTAAAAGACGTCTGCCCTAGTGAAAGTACTCATAGGGTAGTACTCAAAAAGTACTCTAGCTGGGTTTTGACTGATTGAGTACGACAATTGAGTACTTGCCTCACAAAACTGAGTTTCTATGAGTACTACCCACACATCTTTACTTAGCTCACTATTTTTTATACTATATGCATTCTATTTCGTTAACCTATCAACAATGGTATATTAGTACAATGAAATGATTTATAATACTAAGATACTTTAGTATTTTATTGTCTATAAATTACATAAATAAATACTTTGTTTCAAAAAACGACACTTAACACATATAGAAGACAATAAAATATCATTCAAGACAAATGAATGGTCAATGTTTTCGAAAAGGGTATTTGATCACTGTGAATTCACAGATACAAACAACTACAGAAAAAAGAATACTAAAATTTGTTACGATGCAGCACTCAATAGCACGAACACTTAATTTAAAAGTATCAAATAGTTTTTTGATTCGATTCGTGTATGTAAAGCAGTTTAATGTTAAAGCGATCCTTATAGAAAAAAAAAGAAACTTCATGACATGAACCATGAATGCTATTTAGTGACCAGAAAAAAGCTTAACGAATCTGAAGCAAAATTCAATCTGAAATTTAGCAATTAGAAGTTATCAGATTATTGTTTATATACACTGAAAAGACATAGTTTGTTTTATTCGAAAATTGAACAGTTGAAAATGAAAAGTGTATGTATATATGTATGTGTCTTTGTTCACAAAATGAAATATAATTGATTTGATATATCGAATCGTTATATAAACAAAAATGAATCATCTACTAAACAGGAAGGATGGAATCATTATATCCACAGAATATTTCGTTAATATTTTTTAATTAATTTCATTACTTTTTGTTTTTATACAATATTATTTAACTTTTTCCGTGTTAATGCATTAGTGTTTTATCGAAACATAGAATCGAGTACTACTTTGAGTACTCAGGCTATCATATACGAGTGAATTTCAGAAAGCTAACTTATGCGAGTACTCCCTTGAGTACACGAACATTAAAGATAAGCAGATAACTTCACGAGTACTCCAATGAGTCTTTTGTGTACTCATGCTGGCAGGTCGTACTCGCTTGATGAGTATTTTCACTAGGATGGTATTATCTTGTTGAGTGACATCTATGTCATTATCATAACGTCGTGCAAAGTAAAATCCATTAGTCTCGTATGACATTAATGACAATGACTCAAGAGAACTCAATTTATCGAGATTTAAAAATATTTGCGTTCCAGAATCACTTACATCAAGAGTTAATGTTAATGAACGCAGACGAGTAAACTGTTCAACCCGAAAATAAGAAAGAAAAAGTTGAATTTGACACGGTGCATTATGATCATCTTGAAGTTTAAGAAAAACAACTTGGTCTGGTCGAATACGATGGCATACAAGATCAAAATGAATTTTAAGAATCGATATAAAATCAATAGAATATTCAGTGTAGAACACTAATGCAGCATCGATAAATGGACTAATATTAGAAAATGAAAGAAGAATATCATGTGCTAACAAATAGTTAAAAATTGTGAATAATATTTCGACTGGAAATATATCAAATAAACAGCGTAGGAATGTCATATTAACGAATCTTTATTACTGTAAATGATATTATTTTCTCGGCACTTTCGTCGTTCTATTTGCATGAAAAATATAACCATTTTGCAAAATTAATACAGCTTCGCCGATTTTGTTTTTCGCCGGCTCCAACTCTGTTTAGTAAAAATTTTAACCGAAAAATATTGAATCAAATCTGATTCATTCTGCATGTCTATATTATAATGTACAAGTGTTTTTCAGTTTTTCGGGAACTTTCATTTGATTGGTTACAGCACGAAAAAAATTATACATATATATGCATGTCAGTCTTTTTTTTTATTGTTTTCTTTTTCTACGCGCGCTGCAAAAACACATAGAACTTTAAATTATCAAATTGACGCCCAAGTATTTAGTTCTTACAGTACATTGATTAAGAGAAACAGAAAATAGAATTAATCTCCAAAAAAAGGAGAAAAAAGAAGAAACTGCGCGTAATTTAAATAAGAGCAAGTATTACATATAGTGAAGTTTCTGTAATAGAATCGGTTAACTCTAAACCATCACTTTTCAATTTTTTTATAAAGTGGCAGAGAAACAACAAAAACGAAAAGAATGCATGAAAACATACAGTGAAAGAAATTGCAGAAAGATTGTTGTGTTAGGTGATGATTTTCGACAAGCTGTGCGCGTTATTAGAAAAGAATCTCGATGCGACATTGTTGCTCCAACAATAAAAGTCTTCTGTTTGGTTCTTTTTCAAACGTTCAAATTAAAGTGCGATATGCTAGCTATCATAGATTCTGATTTTTCTAAATGGCTTTTAGATATCGGTGACGGTATGATACCTTTACCACTAACACCTAAAACCCAATTTTCAGTTGAAGCTTCTATTTCTTTAATATCTAATGACATATTTAGCGATGTTTTCGATAATAGTTTTACGTGTACTGATATTGAAACTTTTTCAAGAAGTTCAATTCTCTGCCCAAGAAACTAAGGTTTTCGATTAATCAATAAACGGGTTTTGATAAAGTTATAAAATGTTAAACAAAGGAGTTTTTATGCGACTGACTCTGTCAAAAATAGTCAAGATATACACGACCATGATTTGCAGGTCAATATTCCAGTAGAGTTTCTAAATACGTTGAATCCGTCTGCATTACCATCGTATAAATTAAACTTAAAAATAGGTCAAACAGTAATACTTTTGAGAAATCTACCGGTAAACAAATAATTTTGTTATGAAAATAGAATAATTGTTAGAGCCTTTCGTCAAAACGTGCTTCAATTGGAAGCTATCACTGATGCATTTTCTGGAACATTTTAATCCTAGAATTTCTTTGAATACGATGTATGATCCAGCACTTTCATTAAATTTCATTACGCACCAGTTTCCAGTTCGGCTTGCATATGCGATGACAATAATCAGTCTCAAGGTCAAACTTTTGATAGAGTTCGCCTCGATCTTCCAGAACTATGCTTTTCTCACGGCTAGTTTTATACATGCTATTCAAGAGCAATGGAACCCAATGGTTTAAAAATTCAAGTAAAAGATACCACTAGACAGGGAAGAATGGATTATGAGCAAACAGTAGCATATAATGTTGTTTATCAGAAAATTTTTACGTGAATCCCATATGCTTAATGTTTAGAGCTTATAACTTTAGTAATTCCTTCTTTGTTTAATAATTTAAATAGTAATCCAAAATTTTCATTAAATCAATTTTTCCTATAATCTTAAAGTCCAACTCTTCATAGGGGCCTCTAGTAAAATTTTATTTTAACTAACTAGTTTAGTAGTTACTCGATTAATTAACTCCATTTGAGTTGCTAACCATCTGACATAGTAACCCACACACCCACGCCATCATCGTTGTTGTTGTTGTTATCTTTTGAAGTTATTTCTTGAAAAAATTGTGGGATGAAAATGTAAGTAAATAGTTTTAAGGGTTCGATCGATTTTGAGACAAAATATCCCCATTGATATGCTTAGACATAACTGCTTTGTGACAGACATTTTTTAAAATTCAGCGTCACTGTGTCGCTATGACAAAGTTATAATCAGATGTGCGCTTGACCATGGTTACTCGAAATATTTGAAACGGAAAATTGGATTGAATATAATTATGAATTTGTTTCATCTGTATAAAAATGAACTGTTGCATCCGTGCATAGATTATGCGAATTGATTTCCTTTTTCTATTTCATTTCTGTTTATGTATAGAACCTCGGGTATTTGTGAATCAACTGGTGCAGATTAAATTATGGTAAGAAAGTCGCTTAACCATAATCTTACAAAAAAACAAAATTTGTTATTCCGTTCAACATAATGATTTTAAAAGAATTCCAACGGTAAAAATAAATAAATTAGTATTTTCCCATTACAGACATTCATAATAACAGTTTAATTTCATCACGCTGCATCAATAAACAATGTTTACAGAGTATGCTTTTGTGTAGTTACAATATGATAAACTGTGTCTTTGTTTTCTCAATCTATCGAATTAAGAACAATTTGCTCTACATTAGTCCTGAGTTTGACACAGACTTGAGGTAACAAGAATAAAAATAGCCATAGCCGTTCAGATCCAATTCCTATAGTTCTAGTCCGAGCGTTAGTTCTATTTTTAAAACAATACAGTTCTCTAATTGTTTTACTAGACAAGTGAAAGATAGCCATAGAAATATGGCTAGACAACAAAGAACAATGTCTGTTATTTATTTCTCTCAGAAACAAAACATAAACTAATAATAACTGTTCATTGTATTTTATGGCCATCATCGTACATACTTTGCTTGTCTCGGTGATCCAAGCGAAATCGGAAGTGTGCCTCTGGGTACTTCTTTTGGAACCAAACTAATTGTACTTGTATTAAAACCATTACGACGAAAGTTGCCACCAATGGACCTTATCTAGATCAAAAATATATGCAACAACAAAACATGTCACATTTAAAACTAGAGGCTTACGCTGGTGAAGCTATGTGGCTGAAAACGATATACACTAGGCATTGTATGAACTTCAGGTTTGTAAGCACCATATTCTTGATTTGTTGTACGATAAAATGGATGTGACTCTACTTTTGTGTAGCCTTGCCACCAGCCTGAGAACAAGAGAATAAAAGCATACTTAAGAAAATTTCTGATAATAATCATACTAGGTCGATCGAATCGTTCAGGAATATCAAAGGTTCTATAATAATCACTAGTTCTTACATCGGTCATGTCCAATTGACTGCGATGAACTGCGCCATGTGGTTGTAAATATGTAGTACTCGCGTAGGTAGGAACTTGGTCCGATTGGTAAAGAATAGAACCATCCGGTCCAACTTCACTATATTTCGGGAGAGGTGCATTTAGTCCATATTGACTATATGAATTATACATTAGAAGGCAAAGAAAAAAATAGGGCAACTATAATCTGAAAGTAAAACAATAGATCTGAAAGTTTTATATTATAATATTTTTGAAATTTTCAACTCTACTTCACTTGAATGAATTCTTTTAAACGGTAATTCATATAAGAAGTGCGCTCTGTGAGACAAACCTTGAATAGAAACATTATCAAATATCTAGAATTACACATATTTAAAAAAAACTATCTCAAGATTTGATAGATAGTTTTGTTTTCATTTTTTGTCCTCATATAACCTATTATTATGGTTCCAATCAACAGGTTCTACTGAAAATGTATGGCAGCAGAATCAACAATCGCAGGGTGTGTCTGATTAACAAATGGGAAATCAGAATCTTATTAGAATAAATAATAAAAAGAAAGTTATTATTTGTATGGAATCATAATTATCTAACGAAAAAAAAAGAAAATAGTTCAGTTAATTATTTCGAGTTGAATCAGACAAAATTTCGACTACTCGTATAATTTCTTACATGTAAATAGAAGTTACATACATCGATTGTGAGATTTGAGTTGCTATGAAAAAAATCTTGTCAACATATTTCATCTTTCAATAGATTTCAATTGAAACATAGTCACTACGATGTAGTAATGAAGCAAGCAGCATTTTCTTATACTTTTTTCACTGCTCCGTTGTTTGCAAGAGTGTGCAAGTAATCATATTTAAAAATATGTTTGTAACAGAACGGGTAACTGAATTCTGCATAAATTATGCTGCGATCATAATCCTATTTCAATCGATGACTGATCAAATATGACCATAGTGTGGATAGAGCAAAAAATTTATTGTTAAAATTTACTTAACTATTGGGAATTGTCTAATAAAACGATGAAAAAAAAAGAGAAACTTTCTCATAGGACGATGATTTCTAATATGTAATTCCAATAGAAAGTAAATTATATTCATTGTTAATTCGTTATTTATTGAATATCACATAAACGTGAGTGAAATTATTTTCGGTCGATAATGTGAGAAATAATCTCACTACAGCCAATTATTTATCGAAGGAGCTCTACGTGCGCAACTAGGTTATGATTAATGATGATCTTTGAATACAAGAATGTGAATAACGTTCGAGATCCTAGCGCTCTTGCAATGATTACTATTCAATCAAACGAAAGAAAAGTCTGTTTCAGAGTTCTTGTATGGTCGTTTGGTAATATATTTTTAAGCATTTCAATAATCAAGGAATTCTAGTTTCTTTGAGGTGAAAATTTCCATTGATAAATTTCATTCACAAGTGTATGAAGTCGTTTTCCTGAAGGCTATTCCCATGGCTATTAATTGTGTTGATCATCCTTCAAGTGAATGAGAGGTTTTTTTGCTATTTGAGAGAGAATCGAAATTCACATAGTCTATCAAAAATTTGGTTAGATATATTTTTATACCAAAAAAGGCAGCATATCATCATAATCTCGTTCACTCTCCTTTGATGTTTTCATTGAATATCCTGTTAATTTATAAATCCAATCAATATTGAAAAATAATAATTCAGTATGCATAGCAAAAACGTAAAGTTTATTTGCTGTCAATAAAATATCTATCACAATCATCTTTATTGTTCTTATAAGTGGAATGTTTTGCTTATTTGCAGATTCTAATTTGACGCACACATAAATATTTTTTTATTTTGTTTAAGATTTTGATGAAAGAAAATGAGAACTTTTGAAGGAAGAAAGTGAATTGAGTTCGCCGCTGTTCGCATGTTTTATCAAACAAAACCCTGCTGGCAATAATTATTTTCTGAGTTGTTTTTAAAATGATTAAAATATTCAATGTTACCATAATACTTCACTAGTATTGACTAGCAACGGGTTGCTATATTTGACTCAAATAAATCATCGTCAACAAAGATGAATCTGCTTCAACAGATCACTACCTTGTAGTCAAGATGAAGAAATACATCATGCATATATTGTATCTGATCTTATTATCTAGATTTAGCTATGAACACGAAGTATTTATAAAATAAAAAAGCAAACTGTCTATGATATTCTATTAAATATTTACTGAAATGTACTTGCAGAACTTGAATATTGCTGACAGTCGAGTTTAACTGAATTTTACATCAACTCTATTTAACTATTAATTATAAATAATAAAATTAACAATACAAAATGAAGATTTGTTTTTACCTACAAAATGTACAATTCCAGATTTGATTTTATAAGCTATTGTTCAGATGATAAGTTTTTTCAAATGTTGATTTACTACTTGTGTTCGTTTTTTTCTGTTTGCGACTCTTTCACATTCGGATTCCTCGATCTCAATAACCTATTTGAGATTTATATTACTTAAATCACGTTCCGAAAATATGGTATCTTGCTTCAAGTCAGAACCATCTTTGGAAAAATGGTTCAGCATTAAAAAAAATGGTGCAGGACGGAACCTTTTCAAGCATCCGGAACTATTGAGGATATGAGATAATTCTTTAAATTAACTAGAACCCTCGATGGTTTATTAATGAGCGAGTGAAACCTTAAAAGGTTCAGTATCTTGGCTAGAACCATAAATGGTTCCATATGACACCTATTTTTTTCCAGAGTAGGGATGTGCAGTGTCGGTGTAAATACTGAAAAGCTGATCACCGACTACGCTGACTGTGTGTACAGTGAAACACCGACTCCACCGACAGTGTTCTTAGTGGCACACCGACTACACTGAAGCACTGATGATCACTCATACACTGATGATCAGTGAAACACGGACGCACCGACAACTTTTGATTGACTGAAGTCTTTAATCAATCAGAAAGATATCGGTGCATCGGTGTTTCACTGAACACCGATGTCGGTGCCGTCAGTGTCCCTATCTTCAGTGTTTCAGTGACACCGATTACAGTGTGATCGGTGGTTCAGTACGCACACTGTCGGTGGAAGTCGGTGGTCAGTACACCGGTTTAATGGAATTTAGGCAATGTCCAATTTCTACTAGAATTTCGAAAAATGTCGAATTGTACCGGAATTTGGGCAATATTGTCAATTTTCCAAAGTTGTCGAAATGCTTTAGGAAATACGACAATATTCATTTTTGCTGGTTGTTTTGTTGTCGAATATCCGATGGAATTCGGACAACATAAATTATGACTAGTTATTTAATTGTACAATTTCCATCAGAAGCAGACAATATGCACAATAGTTAGAACTAGAAGACATGAATTAAAGTGAAATCCATATGATATTAATTTTAGAAATAACTACTGTATGCCTATATTCTCTTACATACATAGAGCATTTTTTTCTTTTTGTTCATATATCTTTAGGCCACCTTGCATTGCAGGGTGGGGTGTGGGTGTTTGGATGGGTACACTTTGGTTTTTGGTGTCATATCAACCCATACCCACACCCTTTTTGCGCACTTCTAATAAAAAAGTAAAGTTTCTCATGTGCTATATTTATATAGAAAATCTTTGTTTCATGTTAACCGACAAATGACGGAATGTGTGTTTCAATCAAGCATATTAGTTCTAAGTATTATGCATTTTCTCTGAATTTCGATGAAATTTGTACAATTAAATAACCAGTCATAAATTATGTTGTCCGAATTCCATCTGATATTCGACAACAAAACAACCAGCAAAAATGAATATTGTCGTATTTCCTAAAGAATTTCGACAACTTTGGAAAATTGCCAATATTGTCCAACTTCCGGTACAATTCGACATTTTTCGAAATTCTAGTAGAAATTGGACATTATCCAAATTTCGATATCGAAAATCCTATTGCCCGAATTCCATTTTCCCAGTACACCGACACTGCACATCCCTAGTTGCACCATAAACGCACACCGAAAATAATATTTTGCGATACAATATATCTAAATAATCCATCTCAATAAATCGATGAAATTTTGTTGATTCAAAGGTTTGTAAAGAAGGAGCATAGGATGAAAAATTGCTATTTCATAACAGTTTGAGAACAACTACTGAAACAAATGCGTGACAAATTCATTAATAAGTTATTCGCGTGATAACCGTGTGCCATGAGTTATTGTAAAAACAAAATTCATCGATATGACCGCTCTTTAATTCGTTGAATTTTTACTGGTAGTTTGTAAGATGGACAATTAATAAATTCAAAGAATAACACTCATATCTTCTCCTGATAGTAGTGACATAGAGGATTAGAATGTGGATGACACCCGTTAGGGTAAACCATAGCATTTTGTGCTCGAAGATAAGATGGTATTTCACACGATTGTTTTTGACTAATGCAAGTATATTCGCGACGATGGAAGTATCCAATATCACGCAATTTTACAATTTGATTGTCTTTCAAGAATTGAATAGATGCTAGTGTTCGAATGGGTGCATCTCCCCATCGGTACTTGTAAATTCCCTGAGCTTTATCGACTTCGCGAAGCCATGCTTGTATCTGCGGTTCACTGCTTCATAAGGAACCATTGGATACTTCAAAATTGTTGAATACAATAGCTTGAGAATATACACCAGTTGCAGCGCTAATCTGAGTTTTCTTCACCGCAGACGAAGGTTGAATGCGAGAATCATTGAGAAATTCTTGAAATAAAACCCATAACTCTCGTACGAATTTGAGTTCGTCAATACTAACCATTATAAAGGCGTATTGAAACCGATTTATTTCCATGTAGTCGAATATGTCATATGTTAATGGAGGGCCCAGTAAATGCGAGTGGTAATCAAGACGGGTGATAAAAAGTAAACATGTTTGAAATCAATGGATGATATGGCATCATAATGGCAAAGAATTTGCACATATGAGTATAGCCAAGACGAAGGTCGCCGATCTTAGATTTAGTACTTATCTGAAAAATACAAGAATAATAGGGAGTGTTATTTAATTCGTCGAAAATGAATATTTCCACTGTTTTTGTTTTTTGAGTTTTACAGTCAATTATTGTTTTTTGTCGAAGAATTTTTAAGAATGAATAGACTTCTTATCACTAACTTCAAGGGACACATAAGATATTTCTTTTTAAAATGGGATAATGAACACTCGTTCAAAATAAACCGACTAGGTCGTTCAACTAATTAGGCTGCTTCGATTAAATGCGCTACGAAAACGAAGTAAATTTCCCATTTGACATGGTGATATTAAACAATCGGGGAAATCCCTAACAATTTACTTTTTTTAATGTTCTCTTACAAATCAAAAGGTATTTACCTTAGTGGGAAAGCGTATATGTTCAAAACCGATTGGTATGTTTGATCCAAGTGTCGTTGCCAATGGAAGCTGAACGTTAACATTGTTAAAATCACCTTCATGGAATATGACAATAGGGCGTGGCTTGCAAAGATTTTGACGAATTGAAAATAAAGAAATGTTCAATTAAGATAATTCACGCACTGACGTCAAATAGACGATGACACCTAACAAATTTTCAGGTTCTCGATTGAACCATTTCACTTTTCAAACAGCATCCTCTGAAAAGAAAACAAATGATAAACGGAAAAGGACTTTAGTTTGATGCAACCACATACTCATTGCACTATTGACTGATATATCCCAACGCCGGCATAAGCCATCAACACTATTTTTGTAGTACCACTGCACTGAAAAAAAAGGTACCATACGAAACCCCAAAGGTATCCGATTTTTGCAACCAAATCGAAATCCTTTGAGATTTCGTAAAAAGCCTTAATTTTAATAGCTGATAACAGGGGTTTCGTATTTGGGGTCCCGTATAATTCACCACGCAGTATTGAATGAAAGATCCGCCGGGTGCTATGCTCCATTATGGAAGTAGTTTTCCACCACTATTCACTGCAAAACACACCCATTCTCTAAAAAAGAACAGAGTTCTGTAGAAACCACCAGGAAAGTTGTCTGAAAGTCGCCGTATTCCGCAGGAGAACCCAGGATATCGCTGGAACATGGAAGCAGTATCCCGACCGCCAACTTTCGCAAATTGTTTTCAATGATTTCCGCCGCAACTTGCCGAAAGGCATCGCAAGTTGGTCGGAACTCACTAGAAAAATCAGGAAGGTTTGCGACCGGGATACTGTTTCCATGTTCCACCGACATCATGTGTTCCCCTACAGAATACGGGGGCTTTCAGGCATCTTTCCTGCCAGTTCCTCCAGATTCCGGTGGGTGAAGCGATCGGTGTGGGATGTTTCATCTAAAAAGAAAAAAAAATTAATTAATCAGCTTTTAACTTTCTAAATGACTCACCATTAAATATTGCTTCATCTGAGAATCGATCTAAGAAGAAATAAACTGATTTATCAGGTGGTAACTTTTAAAATCGAACTCACCATTAGTATTTATTCATCTTACACTTGACCTAAATGTAAATATAATAACTCATCAGCATATAACTTTCAAAATCGAACTCACCATTAGTATTTGTTGATCTGAGAATAGATCTAAACATAAATATAACAATTCATCACCATTTAACTTTCAAAATCGAACTCACCATTAGTATTTCTTCATCTGAGGGTGGATCTAAATATACGTAAAATATTTCCTCAGGTTGTAACTTATAAAAATGGAACTTACCATTGGTATTTGTAGAGCTGAGCCTGGATCTAAACAGAAAAAAAATAATTCATCAACTTGTAACTTTCAAATCCCAACTCACCCTTATCATTTGTTCAAGTGACCCTTGCGCTAAATCGAAACAAATACTTCACCATGTCTTAAGTTTTAAAGTAGAACTTACCATTATTATTTGATCAAATGACTGTTGATCTAAATAAAAATCATATTCGGGTTGCTGGACCTCGATAACCTATTACAAATTTTCATCAGAAATGATCTCGGAGTTGAAATAAAAAATCTACCTTTACAGTTTTTGACTTAGGCAGGGACCGATTTTCTGACCAATGGGGACGCGACGCGAAAAACTGACTACATATTGGGGTTGCTGGACCTCGATAAACTATTAAAAAGTTATTTGACAATTTTGCCCGGAGGTGTAATAAAAAATCTTATTGTGACAGCAATTGAATTTTTGATCGGTGCAACGTGGTGGCCGAAAAGGTTCTTCAGAAATATATTGAACTGACATGATGGCCTCCTTGTGTAGTGGTCAAAAGCTTTTATACTATGGGATCCTCTTACAAATTGGGAACAGCTCGGAAACTGATGTTCTCGTTTTGTGTGAATGGGGCTCTTCGAAAATTCTGAACAGTAGAAAATAGAAGTTATTATTTTGAATGGTAATGTAGTGATGAGCGAATTGTACACAAGGTTTATTACGAAACCCTTCTGAATACGAAACTCGAAAGGGTTTTTGACCAAACCTATGGGGTGAGACACAATTTGAAGGGTTCCGGACGAAACCTTTTCACATTTTAAAACTCTTCGAAGTCTTTTACAGAACCTTGGATTTTGCGAAACCTCATACTGGTTTCGTATGATTCTACGGATACTTCTATGGTATCGTAGTACTCGACGAAACCTCAAAGGTTTCGTGTGACACCTTTTTTTTCAGTGTATGGATTCATTGTAACAGAGGCCCGTTACATGCCGTTACATGATTCATGAATTGGAGGTTTTTCAGGGATGTATATATATGGAAACAATGTAACACAGATACGATGTCGATGGGTGGTACAAATCGTATCCGTATCGACGCACCCCTCTATTTTGTAGAAGGGCGAAAAAATTACTTCTCTCTTTCGGTATCTATGTATGTAATCATATGTATTTTTCGATATAGACTCAATTAGGACGATATATAAGTGCGTAGCAATAATTATATGATCCTTGTTTGTTTGCGAAAGTACGTAGGTAAATGCGTAAGTTGAATCCCCATTGTCACCTATATTCTCAATTGGAAAGGGGTTTATGAATTGGTCAGGATATTTGTCCCGAGCAGTATGTATAATAAAACTATTTTCATTTCTTTTCGAACAAGAGTTGGATGTTCTAATTAGCGAGGTTCATAAATAAGTTTTGCAGTCCACAGTCAACGAATGCGAAATATATGAATCCATGTATGATGCTCCCCAGACAGTTGCTCCCACGACACTTGCTCCCCTGATATTTGCTCCCGCGACACTTGGTCCCCAGTGACACTTGCTCCCGCGACACTTGCTCCCCAATGACACTTGCTCCCGCGACATTTGCTCCCCAATGACACTTGCTCCCGCGACAATTGCTATCCAACAACACAATCTAATTAGAGTATATATTTCCTGTTCAACAATTCAGATAAAGGTTTTGAAATAGAAGACAAATCTCTAAATTTATTGTTTGAAGACTTTGATTACAACAATTGAATAATTAAGATCATATGAACTGTACAAATATTTGGCACATAATACAATTACAAATAATATCATTAACAAAAAAAACTTCCCAAAAACATTTAGGAACATACAACTTCGTTTTATATGAATTATCCAAGTGATACAGAACAAAACGAAAAAAAATTATGAGCGTTTTAAGGAAAGTATTTGAGCAAGAGCCATCACCTTTTGAAAATTTGTTGTTGTTGGTTCATTAATTATGTTCAAGATACGTATTTCTCGACGAATTTGCTCTCGATTGCGAGTTTGTCTTACACCAGCCTCTGCTTGAATAACTTGTGCTTCCACAAATGATTGTTCCTTTTTTAATCCTTTTAAAAATTTCCAAAAATTTGGATGATTACAATTCATTAATGATGAAAATCTGTTGTTCCAACCTTCAACTGCATTGTTGGTACGATGTTTACGTTGAATAGTGTTTTCATTAACATTCCATAATGAAATATCAAATTTCGGTGATTTGCGTGGTCTTGATAATCGACTTTTCACACCAATGTAATTTTCTTCGAAATATTTTAAAACAGGTTCACCTTCAACTGGAAACTGATCTTTAATTTCATCAAATGTTGGAATAACATCGGCTGCTGGTAAGAATCCTAATGCAGGTAACGATCGAATTTGTTGTGCAAAATTTTCATTTTCGCTGTACAATGTTTTTAAACCAAGACGTGTAACAGAACGGTAAACATTTTGACATAGATGAAAAAAGCATCCCGATAAATTTGAGACCGGAAATGATTTGCTAATCGCTGTCATACTTGCACGTTCGAAATCAATCATAACATTGGGTGGATCAAAGTTTGGTAATAAGTTTTTAATTTGTCGTAACATCTCTCTGTATAAACACTGTTTCTTACCTAGAAAAAGAAAACATGCAGTGAAAACAGTTTTATAAGGATAAGACACTAGGTATACTCACCAGGTAGTAAAACATAAACTGTTGGTAAAATATGGTGCAAATATTCAACATGAATAGTATAAAGTTGAAAATATAATTCAGGAACTACACTAAATGTTCCGTCTAAATATATATGAGTTGCATTTTCTAACATTCGAAGTTGTTTTTTGGTGGAGAATATCAGCATTCGTTGGTCAACAGAGCCTGAGTCGAATTGTAAGAATGTTCTATTACGATTCGTTTTCATAAATTCTGGATCAATAACGAGAGAAGTACGATCTTTTGGTAATGCTAATGGATTTTGATGTCTTTGACGTATTCGTTGAACTGTTCGCTTGAGGTTTTTCAGATTTGGTAACGATGCGATGGCATGATCAGATAAGGTGGACAAACCATCAGCAACAATATCGTGTGTTGAGCGACTAGTGGTTTTAGCTGCATTATTCATTATTGTTCGTGATTCGACTACTTCACGTGCAGAATGAACTGGCTCATGATTATGATCATCAATTAAATGTACAACTTGATCATCAATTGTATGCAGTCGACCACGACATTTTCCGTGACGGTACTGACGACAGCACCATATTATTTTGTTGGATGATTGCTTGTTAAAAACGTATAAATAACCTTGGTGTTCAAAGAGTAGTTTGCCTCGAGTCGTTTCCATCACGCATAAACAAGTGGAGATTTCACAGCAACAAATATCGATATGATTTCTTGAAAATGATATGCGATGTAGTGAGTTGAAAAATATATCATCAGAGTATAAATTTTTAATCTACTCTACTAACTATACATATGTTATGAGATCATATTTTGTTCTTATGTTGTTAATTAGTGACAGTGTAAAAATATCCGATCAAACAATCAATGCCAAAAATTATTAAGCAGAAAAGAACACAGTTGTTTAATTATGTTAATCCGATTGTAACCGACTTGTCGATGCACACATTCGTCTTATTTGCTCTGTGATATTCATCATACTTCTTACTTGTACAGTATTGAAATTAGAATGACAGCTAATATAGTTAACTGTGATTTTAAAATTGTTTTAGCAATCCACTAATATCTTGAAAGACGTCATGAACTTAAAATTTCTGTCAGTTCTTTTCAGTTCTTTTCAGGTTTTTCCCCTTCTATCAGATTATAATTACGTTTAACAATTCCAAAAATCTAGCAACTTATTACAAACGATAGTGGAAAACAATTCTTAGGAGAGCAAATGTCGTTGGGGAGCAAGTGTCAATTGGGGAGCAAGTGTCGCGGGAGCAAGTGTCACTGGGGAGCAAGTGTCGCGGGAGCAAATATCTGGGGAGCAAATGTCGTGGGAGCAACTGACTGGGGAGCATCATGCGTGTTACCGAAATATATAGCAGGCAATTTATAATAATGCTGAAGAAATTCGATTCTTGTTTATCTTACTTATCTGCTATACAATGTTTTTATAAGACCCTGAATGAGACACGCATAGGACACTTTAATTATGTAATCTTCCATCATATTTGTTTCCGTATTACTCAGCCTATGCTGAATGAGAGTGTGGGATAAAGATAACCTCACGCCATTTCGAATGATTTCAACTTTTTTCAATCATTCTTGAAATATCTCGTAAGATTTTTCTTTGAAATAGATTTGAAAGATGTTTAAAATTCTCTCATGTAACTCATCTGGTAAGCGTGCAAAGTACTTGCAGTTGTATTATCAATGATTTATAACGTAATGATAATAAACTGAACACATAGATACTGTGCGTTGGACTTTTATTGTGATTTTAGTTGATTTTCGATCCATATTATTAATAAGTATTATGACTAGAATGAACTAGCTATGCTGGTGCGAGCTGTTTTATTTACAGGGCTAATGGTATCTATGTCTGAACAGTCCGTATTATGCAATCTGATCAGCCAAGCTGTTTTTTTTAGACTGTTCGTTAGTGAAAGATAGAAATATCACGATATATAAAGAAATCATAAAAGGTCTTGAAAAATTATAAAAAATTGACGTGATTCTGAAAAGCCTTTGAAATACTGGTGACTATTCTTGAAAGTCTTCAGTGTTACTGCAAAGACATCTGGAGAACTTCGAATTCGTTGAACCCTTAAGAGAATTTCTAAGTGATAATTTCCTTTCGGTAACATATTGCTTGAATATATAGAAAAAAAATATTTCAGTCAAGATATAGTAGGCCACATACATTGTGATTTTCCATAGCTCTTTAATGTGCACCAACATCAGGTCTACGCAGGTGAGAATTGAAAGGGACCAAAAAAGGTCTGTATTTCCGAATTCTTGTCTTGCAAAAAATTTATAATGCTTTCCAATATTTTTTAATCTGTATCGAAATTCTTAAAAAGCCAGGGAAATGTGTAAAATGACACAAATCAGTCAGATTCGATATTGACACAAGGATGAATTTAGAGAGATGCTCAAGAAATGGAATTTGTCAGCCCTTCTCTACTTCTTGAAAAAGCTTTCACAAAATTCACATTTTCTGCTATTTAGATGTCGAAATGCTTTTCAGTAGTTCTAGATTTGGAATAATATGGCAAAAGAGATTGTAGTTATCGCTATCGCTGTCATAGAAATGTCATATGATAATGCTTTGATGGATCATAGGAAACGAGAGAAAAGTTCATCATTTATTGATGTCTGCTGTGAGATCATCTTAGAATGGAAGTGGAACTATATATGTTTGTTCTTCTCGAAATAAAATGAAATTCATGTATCTGACAGATATTATACATTGAGTAGAGTGAGACATCGAAAAGATCACGATTAATTTTAATGACTTGCAAATAAATTACATTGTTAATATTGTTTCTGTGGAATTCAAAGTTTATTAAAGATTATATCACATCAGTCGATTTTTTATTTGCAAAAGCTAGATTAAAATCAATTTAAATCTCAAAGTAGCTAAAAAGTCTATCGTCATATGATCTGAATATCTTATGAGTTCGTTCCATTTTAATTGACCACTCTTTCGATGAGTATTTTGTTCTCCTTTCAAAAGTTAAAAATATTAGACAAAAATCCCACCAAAGTTGTTAAGTATTCGAGCAATATTCAATTGAAATTGTTCGTAACATTTAACGACTTCATTAAAAAATAATCAAACAACGCAAACTCTATCAATCGATAACTTTGATGTACTTGAATCATGATGGAGTCATTATTAATATAAAATTGATTACAAACGATTCAGATCAGGAAAGGTTGGTTACGAGCTTCAACGTTAACACATCAAATAATTCATTACACTTGATGCTTATTCTAAAGTTTCTGCATAGGTTATTATCCAATTTGAGGGTGTGGATGCACGAAATTATTTTATTTTTAGAGTTTGTATTTCTTATAATAGATTCCTTTCGAATCAATAATTACTCAGAAATATTTTTCTAATCTATCTCTATGCACTTTTTGTACTTCTACATAGCTATATAAGATGATGATCTACCTCAAACTATTATCAAGTGTTAATCGATTGAGACACAAATATAAAAGATATGAGCAATTATTTCGATGTAAAAATAATGCTGTCATTCGCCCTAGGTTTTATAATTGTTGATAGCTATGGTTTAAAAATATTAAAATGTTAAACACATAAAGTGAGAAAATACAAATCTAATTTTAACTCCTATGTTAGCCATCTTAGTATCGGATAGAGTAAACACATATGAAAATATGACCAATTAAACTGTTAGCGTTAGTGATGAATCACACTAACGCTACAACGATGAACAAGATGTGCCTTCTAGTCTAATTGGCTTAGGACAACTGCCCGGATAGCAGGAGGTGTGGGTTCGATTCCCATGAAGGTCATTATCTTTTTCATCGTTCTATCACATACCATCAGTGACGCTGCTTTATCTCTTTCGCTCTTCATATATCTCTCTTTCCTTTCTTCCTTCCCTTCCCTTCCTTATATATCTATATATGAGAGCTAACATAAACGGCGCTCATCCTATTTGTATTCCACACTGATAATCCAATTTTAATGGGGTTTATGCCAAAAGTAATTGGTATTACATTAGGTATGTAATATTAATCAAAATTAGTTGGATTAGCAACATATCGTAAAGATTTTATGTGACAGAATCAACAATAAAATCCAGTTAAATTCATCCGTTTATTAATTTCAATCTAAATATGTTGCTTACTCGACGTTCTGTGATGCTTTTTGAAAAGTCAGTTTCGATCCAATTCTAAGCAGTAATTCTGCAGATTCGTACTTCAAATAAGAAATATGTACTTATCCTTGAAATTCAAAAATTTTTTTCAATTAGAAACGGGAAACATCGAATAGTTCTTATTCGCCGGATCCGGTTGCTGGAACGGCGCAATCCGGATTCCATACCTGGATTAAAAACGGCCAGATCCTGGCTACGTATCTAGATCGGAAACTATTCATATTCCCCCGTTTCCGATCGTCAAAAAGAAACGATCGGGAAATACTCTGGAAGCGGAGGCCGGAAAATTTTTCTGAATACTGCTTCCGGAATTCGATGGAAAATCACCGGATCAGACAGTTTCCCACCGTATGTATTTGACCTGGGTAACGAAATATCGAAGGCATGGGCAACTGCGGTGGTGTTCTACCATTAGTACATGGATCTCATTCAGATCATCCTCATGGAGGTTCCCCTGGCCAAACACGTAAACATTCGCACGATGAAAGACGACGTGGTAGTGGTGATAGTCATGGAAAAGGCGGTGGACACGGACACGGAAATAAAAATCATTTGTAACAACTTTTTCTTCATAATTAACGTTTAGATTGCGTTTTCTGTTTAATAAATACAGTCTAACAGATAAAACTGCTCTCACCATTGAATTTTATCTTTTATAGTAAGTTTATTTTTATAAGTAGGTCATCAATTGTTACTGATATAAAGTTCCGGATGGATGTACGTATGGCTATAAGAAAATGGGTTCAAATCTACACTTAAAGTTTATTTTTGCCAGAGCAATTTTCGACGATTATCTATGTATAAATTTCTGTTCGAAAAGTTAAATAGATATATGATATAAGTGTGATATAATAACATATATATTATATTATGTGTTTGTTTTGTTTTCTCTTCTTTGAATTCCTTTCGAATGAGTCATCATATCTATATTCATATATATATATATATGTGTTCTCTTCTAAAGGAAACTGAATTAGTATTTGTATTCGTTTCTTTCATCTTGTTTTTCTGTTTCTGTTTCTCAAATCAATAGAATACATTATTGACCTTGGCCGCTCCTATTTCTATTACGCAATTCGTAATACGTGACAATAAGCGAATATTTACTCAAAATCTAATTATTGCATGTACTTCGTTTTCTTCAGTAATTATTTCTTTATTTTCTCTTTTCGCTGATTTGATTGTCGTAGTGGCTTGTTTTAGTTATCCCTATAACTGACTATTTTTCTTGACGCATATTATCGTACATCAACATGAAGTTTGAAAAACCTGCATGGCTTACTTTTGTAAACATAAAAGTGCTACTATCTCATGTTTTATGTGAGCATCGATAGTGTAACTGTATTCATGTGGAATATCACAATGGTTTCTATTGAAATTATTTAAAGGTGATTGAGTGCATTGAAACAAACCACGATATGCTCTATTTTGTTAGCATTTTCTGCAATGCTTCTTCGATGCTACGGTGTTGTTCTTATATGTTTGAGAGAGAACATGAGTAATATAAATTGAAAATGTGAAAGTAATAGAACAAATTTACTCTTCCAAATATTGACTAAATTTCAAGTACGATTTAATCATCTGTTTGTTCGTCAATATGAATGGCTGATAAAAGGTGTAATAGCAGATTCATACTAACATAAACAATTCAAATTTGGCATAATAGGTAAATATCATCGCTCAGGGTTATTATCTAATTAAAACAATCGGTATTTTTCAATATTTAACGTAAATGCCTTATGAAGAAGAAAATCAACAGTGTGTCAATTTAAATCAACCTCTTCGACTAAAGTCAATTGTCTTTGAAAACGTCAGCGGCATTGATTCATGTTCACTCGGAAATTGATTGAAAGCAAAGTAGTATCAAGTTCACAAATAGCAATAGAGCGTATATTGAAAGTAATCAAGTTACATATTTGTTTCTAGGTCATTTTTCAAACTCTGTTTTATCATCAAACTTTAATCAAAGTGGATTGTGGCTAACTGAATTGGCAAAAATATTGTTGTAACATGCTGAGAAGCATTCTTATGGTGATAAAAAAATCTACAATGCAAAATGGTTGCATAGGGAGAAATAATATAAAATATTTTGTCTACGAAAGCGACAATCAGTACACGTCGACAAGTGTTGTGCTAATTAAGTTTTTTCTTAAATAAGCCCATTGCTGAAAACTATTAAATGTTTCATTCTAATTATGGTGGAAGAAAACTTTTTTACAAGAAAAATTATATCAAGTGATAGAAGATTTAAATATCGAAGTTTGAAATACTATAGAACGATTTTTATGAATCAGATCATTAGTACATGAAGAAGCGTATAGTGGACTATGGTTCTCACGTTTCTGAATAATCTTTGGACTTGCTTGAATAGGACTCGAAGAAAAGAAATGTATCTGTAATAGTGCAGCTTGTTTTAATTTATCGTTATTGACGTATAAGATGATTCACCGTATAATATTGGGTTCAGAAAAAGTTGAGATACAAAATAAATGTTTGATAGGCATATTGAATGAACTAATCTTCATTTTTTATTTATTTATATTGAATTTACTGTTGAAAATAAATCATAATCAAATATTAACTATCATCTATTTGAGAAAAAAAAGTATCTTTCTTTTATATTTATATTCCCTCATCACAAAAAACGATGAAGATTAAGGGCGAGAGAAGAGGGTGAAGATTAGCATCACAATTTCAGTAGGTAAGCCAATCAATCAGGCGGTCATTGCTCTTAAAAATATGGTAATTAACTGATTTTCATCATGTTTTTTGACTTTTCCTAATTCAAGAAGTTTACAGCTTTTAGATGACTGTGAGAAATTCGATTTTATATGATCGATTTACTCGATATTGTTGTTGTTGTTGTTGTTGTAGGCGAAAGAATTCGAAGAATTGTGTGAATTAAAAGTTTTTGTAAGATGAGTCAATATAAAAATATATTTAGCTGATTCATTTTCCAACATTAGTAAAATGATATAACAGTCTGGAGTATTGGCTGACTAATGGCGATTGATTCATTGCACTGATATTCAAAACAGCTTTCATTCGATAATTGTGGCTATTGAGGCGTATAGTTAGAAACAATAACCATTCTAATTTTGTGCTCTGTGATGTGTCATACTTATGTCACATTTCTTCATAGTTATTTTCTTTTTGAAAAGTCTTCATGTGAGGTTCTATGTGAAAAAGCATAGTGCGCAAATGGAAAATATATAATTACATACACTTTATGATAAAAATCGATGTTGTGACTCGCATATTCATCACATAATTATAAAATAGGTAAATATTACAAAGTAGCAGCCATAAAAGGTTCTCTCATCTATTTGCACAAGTTATTTTATCAAAATTGGTCATGAATGAGGACTGCATTACTCATAGAACATGACATCACCCATCATAATGCATAAATTCATTGTAGCTGAGATTTTAAACAGTTCTAACACTTTTTGTTTACTACAGTGTAATTCATATTATTTTTATGCCTGTGAGGGAGAGACTCCATAGAATAGTTACATTAATGTTTCAAAATAACAGAAAAATAGCTGATCCAGTGGTTTTAGAAAGTTTCTCGGTAAATATTTATAACACTAATCATACATTTCAAGTTTGTCTGTAAGCTTAGATCACTTATGGTAGTAGAACTTTTACGAAAATACTCTCAAAGGTATGTAAGAAAGTATATCGAGAAATAGAGTATTTGGTTGATTTGTATTGACATGTTAAGCAACACTTGAAATATAAGTATGAATTTTTATTCTTTCTAGATACGTTGCTTCATTGACACAATATCAGCGTAACTTGCGACTTTCATTAATTAGTACGAACAGCAAAAAGAAATTCTCATTTTCCAATTATTCATCATCAAATCGAGAACAAAGTTTAATTCACACCATATATCATGCTGACATTTGTCCTTTGTTTATTCGTTATCATCGAAGTACGCGTCACTATTGCTCGCCCTAAATTTGAGTCAACCATGCACTTAACTGCCAACAAAGTAAAAACTTTCAACTCGAGTACTGGTCTTCCAATACATTCAGATGTCTTTCGACAAACCATCAATATAACTGATAGTGATACTAAACGACTAAAGAGTTTTTCTGATAATATTCGTCGGATGCAACTTAACTCTGACGCTAGATTACATTCGAACGCATGCATTGCTCTTGATCCTATAGAATCGCTGGAATCGGTTCAGTGTCTGTATGGACGTCAACAATTTCTCTTACTTACATTTAAATCTAGTGCCGATGCCAACTTAATTTATAAACAATGGATTAAGTCAGATGCCAAATTTATTAATGGTGGTCCTGAGTGGGGTTGCCGTAATGTGACGACGCAAGAGTTAATAGTAATCTTTCAGAAAATATCAACATTTCGATTAACAGATACAAAAATTGTAATCGAAACTTTCAAAGATACAAATATAAGTCCATTCTTATGTTTTGCCGATATTTCGATGAACTTAACATGGGAACAGGCAAGTGTGACAACAAAACCATCATCAACACCCACATCCACATCCAAAACAACCGTACCAGCGGCCAACTCTAGATCACTTTTTGATTCATGGAGTTTCGATGCACAGCAACCTCGTAGTGATGAAATATTTTATCCTGGGCAAAATGTTGATGTCAGTTGGTTATATTCGAATATTGACGGAACGACTAGTCTTACAATTGTACTTTGCCGGAAACAAATCTTAATTGATGCTGAAATAAGTACAGTAAATACGAAAATCAATTCAGTACGATCGTCTTTTACCATTCCCGCCAATTTGGAAATATCATCTAATGATCAATATTACTTTTCGTTTCGCTTTTCACGTTCATTGATACCTTATAAAAGAACAAGTGCTCTGTTCTATATTCCAACACAACCATTCATAGCTCCAAGAACACCACCTTCTGCCAACGAAGTATTTTATCCAGGTGATATTGTACCATTGTCATGGCAAAGTGTAAATTTTGCAGTGACAACTCAAATTATCATACGCTTTTGTCGAGCACGATCTATTATACCAGATTCAACATTAGCTACTTTCACAGTATTGGCTACTACTAATGCATATAACTATACGATTTCGTCTACCCTAGATCGAGCTGATAACGATAAATATTACTACTTCGAGTTTGACTGTAAGTGGACGACAAATATTTTTTGAATTTTATTTTGATATATAATTTTTAGATTGTAAATCATGGTTATCATTGAATTGCAAAAAAACTACAAATAACTTCTTTGTACCGAGCCGGCCTTATTTACATCCAACATTTCCAGACATAGGTGATTGGTTTTCACCGTTACAAACGTTGACACTGAAGTGGGCTAGTGCTAACTTTGCTAGCACCAATGATCTACTGACGATCAAGCTTCGTCGCTATAATTTTTTATTGCCCGACAGTGATGTTGACACCTTCACATGTACAGTAAGTTCAAGTGGCTCTTGTACACGGACTTTACCAGCTGTGGACAAGTCGCTGTCCGATTATTATTTCGAATTCAATTGGTGCAAAAATTGGTATTCAACAGATTGTACAACAAAAAGTAATCGATTTTCGATTCCCACGCATACTATTGGCTCATGGAACTATGATGTACAACGCGGCCAAGCGTTAGCGTCGAAAACAGTCTATTTGAGTTCATGTAGTAGTTTGTGTCCAACACATGATGCTACATTGTTTTATTTATGTCTAATATGCAATCAAGGACGTTCTATGAGTATGCTAGTAAATTGTACAAATTGTTGGGCCGCCTACGATTACAGCATTGTACAGATGGACTTGGTACACAATGGAAATTCACCTTCACTAGATAAAATAACAGTACGTATGAATTCACGTGTTTCAGTTAATGTTGATTTTACTGTTCGGGCTGATTATCAACGTAGTTTTGATGGCTGGCTGCCTCTACCAGCTATTCCAATTGGACCATCAATCATAATTGCTATCGGTTCAATTAAAGTCGGAGTAGGATTATCGTTTTCTCCTTCTATATCCTGGAACATAACAGTGGACACAATGGGGAATCTAACTGCTGGTGTAGATTATACATGGCAAACGAATTTAACATTAGTCAATACTCCTGGTAATACAAGCAAAGAGTACACGCAGAGTTTGATGCGTAATATTCATCCAGTACAGGGAGACTTTCAAGCAAATCTTCTTGTTAATTTTACCTATCAGCCAGAATTGGAATTGACGGTTGGTATTTTCACAGTTTCATTAGGCACTAATGTCTATATTATATTCGAATCTGTATGGCATTATCCACCCTTTGCTGCTCTTTCAACATCGATTTTCGATTGGAATTCACAAAAAAATGCTTCTATCCATCTTTCTTTTCCATCAAACTCATGCCTAACAAATCATTTCAGTCGATATCACACAATGTATGGACTTCGTGGCACACAGATATCTATTGGGTTCGATCAAGTTAGTACTCTTGTTAGTGTTTTTACTGACTTCCAATTATCATGGTCGTCACAGTCCTTGTTAGATCTTGGACCCTATGAGTTATCTTCAGGTTGCATGTTTCAAGCCTGTTTAAATACTGATGCACCAAGAACAATATATTTAGTACTTAATAGGCCATTTAATGAATTCAACGACACGCCTGATATATATTTTTCAAGGGCAGTAGTTAATGATTTAGCTTATGCTCTTGATGTATCACTAACACGAATTTTTTATAATAGTACATTTGGCGTACAGCACGACCAAATGACAGGAATGGTGATTGTATTTTTACCATCCGTTTCTTCCCTTAGTGATAATCCTAACGTAGATTTGCTGGTTCAGCGATTTCAAAATCAAATCTCTAATACGAAATCACTTCTCTACTCTGGTTTAGTTACAAATTCACTCAATTTTACACAAACATTAAACATGAATAACTTCCGTGCATTACAACGATAAACTTATCTATGAATTCGTAGAATTGTATTCTGAGAATTGAATTTACTCCGTGTATTGTTGCCCAGCATGAGTAAAAAACGATTTTTTTCTCAGAAGAACATTGCTTAAAGCTACCGAGATATATTTTAAAATTCTATAATAAATGAAATTTGTTCAAAAATTGCTTATAAGTTGTTTGTAGTGTCCTGTTAGAACTAATTTTCTCAATATTTGCTTTTGTGCTTCTTTACTAGAAACGTTTTCAACTTTATATTACGATTTATTTTATTTTTGAAAAAGAAACTATCATTACTAGACACTAGCTTCTCCTTAAAGTATATTTTCTACAAGGTGAGATGTTCTTGTACTAAACAATAAAATCATTATTTGAGTTACGCTTCTCGAATTCAGTGTATATCTCAGCATGTCAATCAGTTATTTCTCAACTGAGTTTAATACATGTTATTTGAAACTTAAAAAGAGCCTCGTCTTTAGTATGATACCTGCAAAATATACTTGCATGCAATTAATGCAAAAAAATTATTGTTTTATTTTTAAAAACTATTAGTCAATGTTACAAGAAAACGTTCTAAACAATTGTACAAAGTACTTTCGTGGAGAAACAGTTAGTTTAGATACTCGAACACTTGCATATATACGATATGTTTATGTATGATTTCAATTGTATTATGTGAGTCATTTAGAACTAGCGTCTCAACTAGGGTTTATATAGGACGCTGTGATATTGAAAGAAAGTAATGCATTTGATCTTATTTGCTTTAATTTATTTCTGCCATTCCTGTTTTCTTTTTTCAATCATTTGCACATGTGATAATACTCACAAATTAGTTTGTTATCATAGATTCAGAAGCTTGTGCAAACTGAAGTTCGTCGGATTTAAGATTTTTGGGAGCTGGAGCCCAAGTGGGTCTTTTCCGATGGGCTTCTAGGGCACACTAACAATGATTACTTCTGATGAAGTTTAGTATTTCAAATGTGTATGAATTATCTTTGAGAGTCTCAACAAAAAAATTATTTTTCCATCAAATCAACATAAATGTCACTGAATAGTGACGGTTCAATTCGTATTCAAGTATTTGCAAATTGCAATACTATCACACTTCGAAACTCATTTCTTTAATCATAATGACAAATCAAAAAGATAAATGTAAGTTGCATAGTTTTACATAACAAGAAGGACATGGCAACACTACCATACGATACACTTGTCTATTCGACTATTGCCTTGACCTGGCTTGCAAGAAAAAGCGCGATCAAATTCATCGAAATTCGATGTTGGACCAATGACCCTGAATAAGGACGTTATATATTAACTTTCATCAGATAAAATTTTCAAAACAAAATCTACCTGAATTGTCCTAGTGAATGGACATCAGTCAACAGGCGAGACAATGCATAGGCATCGGTCATTTTTGTACACCACGTATGGGCATAGTTAATGAAGAACATTTGTTCTGGTGTATATTTCTGAAGACCTGGTAACCGTTTATCGGCATTTGGATTTTCTTTAGCCCATTTTCGATAAGCCTGCAAAAAATAATAATCAGTTCGTTTTGTTTGAACGTATTAATAGAGTAAATATGCTTCACTAATGAAGAATACTTACGAAAAACGATTCTCGAAGTCCACCATTGTCAGCAATATCTTCACCTTGCGTTTGGAAGCCATTCGCCTAATTTGCGATGAAACAGTCATCATAGATTTATTTTCACGAAATCTTATTCTCAAACAGACCGTCATGTTGATTTGAGTTATTGTATAATTACTGTACTGATCAACAATGCATGTCTTACGTTCGATAAATTTTTTGATCGTTTCATCACTCCACCAAGGAATTCGATCTCCATCTTTATTGAATTGGCGACCTTCATCATCAAATCCATGAGTTATTTCATGCCCGATTACGACTCCGATACCTTAATAAATATTTGTAATAACGCCTATTTGATGTAGCACTGTGAAATGGCTGTTTTACTGGATAGAATCCACTTTACAAGAAGATAGAAACATCCGTTAGTTTTGAAAACTGTACTTTACAGAAGTTAAAAGAACTTTTCTTTTAACAATCTTCAGCAAAACAATCTCTCAAAATCGATGACTTACCACCATAATTGAGATATCTAAATAAAAAAACATAAGAAATTGAGAATAAAACAGAAAATCAATCAATAATACTGTTTACTTTGGTGCATCTTTATCAAAGAAAGGTTTTTGTAGGATACCAGCTGGAAAAGCTAAATTTTCCAATGCGAAATAGGTGATTCATGCTATGAAAAATAGAACAAGAAAACGATGAGATTTTACTTATTTGATTTTTTGATGGATCATAGAATGCATTGACAATACTTGGTGCTGTATCACCCCAAGCTTTATGATCAGTAGGTTTTCGAAGAATTTGAAAATCTTCTTGGGCTTTGATTTGCAATAGCTTAAGAACGTTGTTTGCATATGACTTGCCGAACACATACTGAATCAAAAAATATCAAACATAATCACTTTTAGTGCAGATATTTTAAGCAATAATCGATGATATCGTTTTGAATTTAATGATTTTCATGAAAATTATCGATCTTGTTACGTACCTCAGCATAATCTTCCTCGAGTTTTGTATTGTTATCACTGCCTAAATAGTCAGGATAACCAATTTTTCGATCAATCGCATTAGCCTAAATGCTCATACGTTTATATTTTACATTTTCATTCATACTGATTGATGATCTCTTTTACCTTCTCAATGGCTTTCTCCAAAGATTCCGAATCCATCCAAGTTGTTTCCTTGAGCATACCAATAAATGCATCCTGAATATTATTGATCATGTTGAACGACTAAATATGAGAAAATTTTGTCTAAATAAAACTATGTTCTTATTCGTACTTGATTACGAGCGTTTTCATCAAAAAAACGCTTTATATAGAGTTTTGAGACGGCAAAGCCCATATTATCATTGATATAACGACCGCATTGGATTGTACGCGGTGATTCGGCGCTTGTTCCGCGAAATATTCGCTCGAAACGATCTCGAAAAAGACGAAGACTTTGTGGCATATCGCGTACTCGATGCATTACAAAACGCCAAATCATGTAATTTTGCAGAGTACGTGGTGATGTTTGACTAACAATATCAGAAACATTGCGCAAATATTCAAGTTCACGGACAAAAATGACATCAGTCTCTAGTAGAGTAATGTTACCCAATAGATAACATCGAATAACATAATCGGTGAAATCGAACTAAAAAGATATAAAAAAAATCCTTAAACAAGTAAGCAGAACAACAACTAACTGTAGTATCGAGTGCAAGTGATAAGTTTCCGATGGTCGTTCGTACTGTTTCATTATCACGTGCTCGTTGTTCTGAACTGCTCCAATGATACTGTAAAAGTACATATAGATATTTTTAATGATCGATATAAATTAAAATTAATTACTTCTGAAATTGATTTTTCAAAATCGAACATATCCTTAATATCGATATCTGCCATAGAAGCATCGTTAGCCAACGAATCAACTATATCCAGCATAAATTGTCGATAGGCTACAGTAATATTAGTTTCGGTAGTGTAATATTCCTTTTGTCCTAGGCCAAGATCACCTTGTCCTATCTAAAGAATAAAATGTACATTTTTTTCTCGTCTATTTATTTTTAATACATCATTTGATCAGAAAAAAGTCAATTATCAATTTTGCGGATGGAACGTACTTCAATATCGTAGTTAGTAGAATTCTTTTCATCTATGGATGTGCTGACACGATAAAAGATGCTGTTGCTGTATTTTCGAAGATTGAGCAACACATTCGTCAGGTTAAATGTAGAATTATTCCACGAGGGACCTTGCAAGATAGGCCATCCACCAAACTCTGTCTCAATCAATCCAAGAATGGACTCAACACCTTCGGAATCTATACCAGCCTCATCGATACATGATTGGTACAAATTTCGAGCATTTTTAACGGCCATAGGCTCCACAGTATCACTTGAAGGTGGTGATGAGAGTAGATCTAATTATGAACTATGAGGAGCTTGAATATAAATATTTCTTTGACTTACCAACAATATTGTTATCTAATTGAGCTCGCAGAGCATTGAACGTATTTTCTGCTCCAGCTAGAAAAAGAAGTAGAATTACTCAATCAGGCCTAATAATATTAAAATCATAGGAAAAATTGCTCACCATCGTCAGGAATTCTAGTATTTTCTATCCATGTTCCGCAGACGAAATTAAAAAAATCTTCACAAGGTTCAACAGTTTCATCAATACTTTCAATCAAATAATTGGCTAGGAAAAAATATAGTCATAATAGATATCACACAAATTTTCAAGAGAAATCAGATGTACCTGCTTTGACACAATATGGTGTTAAACATAAATCTTGGCTAGCTAAAATAGTGCATTAGTTAAATCTAATTTATTCATACGATCAAACAAGCGTACCCGGTGTTGCCGGCGTGGTCGTCCCAGTATTTGATGTTGTTTTTGCTTTCTCCAAACCATAAACTACAGCCAAAACAGTAGTTGTTAAAATAAAGATACTTAGTAGTACCAGAAGTATTCTAGTATTTCTAGTCGATTTAGATGCTGGTAACGCTGAGCCACTGAAAGAAAATTAAAATTATTTGTTTCCAATATTGTAACTTATATTTGTGTCTTAGTTCTCAATAGACACATATACAAATGATACATACCTGACTATCTCAAGCGATCTATCCTTGAATCGAGCACTCATTTTAGTTTAATATGAATCGTTTACTATGATTAACTTGCTTGTGATTGTTGAAGAAATGATACAACGCAAGAATATTTAGCAAAAATGAGATAACGCGTTTATACTTTTTTCTCGACCAAAAAAGAAGAGTAAGTACCGTTTAACAATAAAATTCATACTCATCATTATTTATTAAAACAATGATAAGATAAGAATACAAAAAGATAGTCGAGTCGTACTGTCAACTTGTAGAACAATGAATCAACATTTTCCGCGATAATTCATGACATAAAACAGGAAAATATTAACTGTAAGAAAATGAATAGATCAGTCTCCATTTAATCAAGCCATACTTTCCGTGATCATTGAGAAAATCATTCCTCTCTCACAATATTGTGCTATCACACGAATATGCAATGGTGGACATTGAAAAATGACAACAACTTAACAAAAAAAATGCAAAACGTTTTTATCATATGNGGGTGTGTGGGTGTGTGGGTGTGTGGGTGTGTGGGTGTGTGGGTGTGGGGTGTGGGGTGTGGGTGCACTGAATTCCGGAACGTTGGGAATTAGGCGGAATCCGCGGGGATTCCGTGTAATTCCGGAATTGAATCGGAAGGGATAAAAGAAATTCCGGGGATTTGATGGAATTGGTTCCGGAATGTTCAACATTGCGGAATAGGATGTATTCTCTATGCACTGTGCTTGTTTTTTGATTATACCTGTTCTTTCTGGAAGAAAACTGAAATTTGTCTTGCAGGTATGGTTTTAGTATAGTCATTGACTAAAGCAGTTGAGCTATTTTTAACACGAAGATGGAATTGGTTAATTCTTTGATGGGAAGTGATACATCGTCATTCATACAAAATATTTGATCTTTACAAGTATGACCAAATAATCGGTTGGTAATCCTGTGAAAAGGAACCAATTTTGTGTGCATATTAATGACGGGTGTCCTGTTCCTTTTCTCGTCTGATTGCATCTGATGATTTATTTGCTTATTCACTATGTAAATACAATTATTCGACAAATGAAGAAATCTATGATGATGTTGACACAATGATGTATTGTGGAATGGTTTCGATTTAAATACAAAAGCTAAACACAAGTTTTGTCACATTGATATTTTATTTTTCCATCATTAGTATGGCTACGATATATCCTAGGCTAGGGTTCTCTGAATACATTCCATTGTCTACGCGTCGCTATCAAGTTCGTGGGAAACTACTATCAATTGGTGATCATTTCAAAATCAAAGATCAACTAGGCAATGACATATTTGTTGTGCGATCGAAACTTCTTTCCATTGGGGATCATATGGTACTGGAAGATAGATTTGGAAAGTAAGTTTTTGACATAGGGAAGAATATGAGATTCAAAGTTTCTTTCAAAATATCCCATAAATGTTAACAGAACAATACTATTTGGTTTCTCAATTAGATTATCTCTCAATAGTACAACATACAGAAAAATTGGATTATAACTTGGTATTTGTTGTCAGCGACAAGTCTTAATCAAAATCGAATAGTTTCATGTTTTAGTATCTTATGTATATTTCTTATGTCTTGCAAAATCATATCCTATGAATACATTATCAAAAGCTATTTTGTTTTCTCATCCGCTAAAATCATCACGAAGTTCTGCGAGATGCAGGAAAGGCTTCTCAAGCGCTGATGATTGTAACATAAAAATGTCAACTGAATAAATGAGAGTTCCCGAGATTCTCTCATAAAACGCGATTAATGTACACAGCGTGCGAATTTTTCGTTTTAACGACTGTATACCCAGGTCGAGCAATCATATTGTAAGATCTGATCAGATATTGCATCTGATCTTATGTGATCTTGCACGATCATACGAAAATCATACAAAAAGTCGTAGTTCCTGAGATCTGAGATCAATTCGCACAATCAGATTCTTGAAAGATCGTATTAATTTGTAAAATCTTTCAAGAATCTGATTGTGCGAATTGATGTAAGATCTCAGGAACTACGATTTGTGTCAGATTCTTGTAAGATTTCGCCCGTATTCCAAGATCTTGTATGTGTTTCATAAGATCTTGTGTCAGATTTTTCGACCTGGGTATTTTCAGAATTAAGAATAGAGTATCTATACTACCTATTTATTTTTTCAGTGGTCTGATCAAAATTCGTCAAGTGGTACTTCATCTTCTTCCTACATTTGATATTAAATCAATCGTTCCTGGCGAGTTTAGTCATTCATTGGCACAAATAAAACAAAACTTCACATTTTTTCACAAAAAATTTACCATCGACTCCGTCTATGGTCAATATGTACTCGAAGCAAGCGATGTTATGGCTCATTCGTTCACACTTTCCAAAGGAAGTCGAAATGTAGCTGTTATTAGTAAAAAATATATGTCCGCAACAGATAGTTATGACGTTGAAATAGATAACAATGAAAATCAACCATTCATATTGGCACTCGTCATCGTTATTAATCAAATATTATATACTTTTCATTGGCAAAAACTTACAGTGTTGAAATAATCAATAATAAAAAGCAACTCTTTTCTATATGCCTCTGCCATTTTGATTGTTCGGCTGTTTTATGAGTTTATCTCTGAATAAAGCTATTTTTAATCAGTACGGTTTCGAAACATAATTTTTACATTTACAACTACTTCAGCCTATGATCTGTCACGATGAGAAAAATCATGTCCACATCGTCAAGATGTGAAAAACTTGATACAAAAAGAAAATTTTTCTTTTAATCTAATTCATTCACTCAGATACGTCATGCTTATATCCTCATCAGTTACAACTCAACATATTTTTTCATCTAAAAAAATACTTCAGGAAGTTCCGAAGAAAAAATAACCGTTATTGATTAATTGGTAGACATAAAGTCGTGAATATTTGTCTCGCATATTGCATCAGTAAAGTTAATCCGATATTTGATTATTTGCAGTCATGATTCGCTCCTTGATCTTGTTTCATGTTCTGTGTGATAAACCAATGCTCCAAAAAGTATCGCAAATTATATATTGTCAGCCTACGCTCTCATCTAAATGTACACTCCCATGCAGATACACACCCAACCCATATTTTTGTTATCGCTTGATCCTCAACAGAACTAGTAATATTTGATGAAGAACGGATCGAGGCTGAAAATACTCGAACATCGTGCTAACTTTAGTGACGTTCGCACCTTACCAAAATATGTATTTTGCCTCACTGTATCGAGTTTCTCTAAGAAAATTTTGTTCTAAAAATCACTTTCGTGATTAATACGGATATTTTCACAGGTGTATCACACCATGCATCATATTGATCAAACCAAATATCGTGAAGACGCCGTGATCGATCAAATTTCTAGCTGTAACCCACTGATTTGCGTTTGATTGTGTGCCAATAACTACGACTATTCATATCAAACATGTTTATGAGATATCATATGATGCGGTTCGACATTAAATTTTGCATCGTTCTTTTTGCTTTGGTTTCGGTAGCATCCTTGGGGCAACGTATTGAAGAGGATTGTACTGCTAGCAGTGAACCTGCTGAAAATTGTTTTCAATATATTTTTTCGGTCTGCAAGAATACAAAATTCATCGTGGATCGTCTCTCCTATGGCAACAGTTGTTCCAATATATCTCTCTTTTGGGGTGGACCGATGAACAATATGACCATTTTTTTTGACAGCCATTCGTTAAAATCGTACGAGCTCTGTATTTCCCAGGTGGCATGTACGAAAGCATTCTACACAACTGAAGATAGACACGAAATTCCGATCGAATGGAATCCATCGAATGAGGAACCTGTTTGCTTTCCAACACTGAATGGTAATAGACCAGCAATGAGATTTCGATTTGATGCTGGAGATCGATGGATTTGCTATGGTACTACTATTAATTTCTTTTATAAAGTTTAATTGAATATCTGTTCAATTGCACTTGAATTCTATGTTCTGAATTGATGAGAATTTGTTATACTTAAATAAAGACACCAAAGAGTTCAACGGCAAAATAAATATTCTTTTGAATTTGATCTAGATTCTTTCATTAATTGTAGTAAAATCCTCATCGATACTATCCGTCTATGTATAGTTCTCAATAGTTCTGTTAGAAAAACAAAAACACAGATTTTATAATTTCGTTTATTTTAATAGAAGAATCCCATGTAGTAAAAACCGCATGAAAATCGGCGGTTAACCGCGGTTTTACCGATCCGGTTACCGGCTCCCATTACCGCAGAACGGATAAATACCGCGGTTTACCGCAAAAAATGATCTGACATTTACCGCGGTAAACCGCCGGGTTTGATTAATACCGCGGTTACCGCTAAAAAAAAGCGGTTAACCGGTTCGTCTATAATCTTTGACAGAAAAAGTCTTCCAAATCATCAATTAAACTATTTTAACCATCCTTTTTGTTTACTTTTACATGTGATAAACATGAGCAAAAAACCGCCGGTTTACCGCGGTTTTACCGGTCCGGTTACCGGCTCCCATTACCGCAGAACGGATAAATACCGCGGTTTACCGCAAAAAATGATCCGGTATTCGCAACATGGGAAATCAATGAAGGATTTGCAACTTTAAATTCAGCAACGATTTTTGTTAATTTAATTACTCTTACTAAACAAATTATTACGAATGTCTAAACGCACAAGCGCTGTTGTGCCGATATAACCACTCGTTCTATTCTAACCAATGTACATAAAGACTTTCTCTTCATTGTCGTGTGTATTCTCTCTTCCTCTTTGTCGTGTTCTTTCTCGTTCTCTCCGGTTGAGTGACGCGCTCCGGAGAAAGACAGTGTAACTATAAAAGGAGATGGATGATTGAAATAAAATAGTTCGATATCACGATAAAACGTTTCGTATCGTTACAGCTGTAATGTTATAGATAACCGAAGGTAGATCAGCTAGTTTATTGTTATTAATTCTCAACGAAGCGAATTCTTTAATTTGTCGAATTTCAGCTGGAATTTGTCTGATTTGATTGATATCGAAAACCAATGATTTTCTACAATCTATAGTAGAACCTAATATTTTTATGGCAACTAAATTTTTCAGCCGATTATTGGACATATAAATAACATATATTTGGTAAGTTAAGTGGAATATTTGTAATTCCACAATTCAATGCAATTAGCATATGAAGATTAGCAAGACCATTAATTGATTGTATTGAACGAAGGTTTGTACTATTATCTAGATTTCTACTGCTTAGCGATTTAATTTTTCCAATAGCTACTGGTAATGTAGTTAATTTATTGTTAGAAAATACAACACAGAAACTGACCGTAAATTAGCCATCGTATTCGGAAGACTAACGAGACATGTATTGGATAATTCAAGAGATACTAAATATTCTAATTTGCTGAATTGTGACGGTAGATGAGTCACTTCAGTATCCGAAATACGTAAATAGTTAAGCGATCCAGCTAATCGTTCAATGTCAGATGAAAGTAGGCGAACAGAATTTTCAATAATGTTAAATTGTTCAAAACTCGAATTTTTACATAAAAATATTTTAAAGATTGTAAACAGAAGACAGCAGATGGAACAATAGTCTCATTGAAGATATGCAGTTCGTAAATATAGTTTGATTGTCATAGGTAAGAGCACATGTCTTTTTGAAATCGGAATAAAGTGGATTCATTTCAATAGTAAATGGAAACGATGCGAAAATAGCCGTGCCACTCGTATATTGAGAACAATTCAACGATGATTTGTCGAACAGCATAGTTTCATTGCCTATAATACGATATGATTTCAAACTTTATTCTCGAATGTGGTGATTTACTTTGATTTGGTACATTTGATTTATGAGTATCAGTTTGAACAAGATATATGAATATTATCAAAAACACCTAATTGTTTCATTTTTTGAAGTTGTTATTTTGCTTCACAATGATGCATTTTCTTTACATTTGATGATAAAACAAATTACACCATAAATTATTCACTTACAAAATAAGAAATTTATTTCTATTTTTACAATCCGTAATCGTAGAACAGTATACTTTTCTTTACATATACCTGGCTGTCATTTCGTTTTGCACATTACTACTTCTTTAATAGTAATGTTTCTTACAAATTATTTATCAACTAACAACTTACTCTTTTTCATGGTATAACAAGTTTAATTCTATCAAATATAGAACTCCCAATCTTCTTAAATTGTACTCTTTTTCATCAAACGATTAACAGAATATTATAAAGAGAAATAGTTTCAAAAATTGACGCATTCATTGATACTTTTATTTTTATAGATTCATATTAGAATGAAATGATAAAATAAATAATCTATCAATAACTACATATGACAAATTCGCTATTAAATAAAAATAAAATTACGATTTATAAAATATGAATGCATAAAACCTAAAAGATAAAAGAACTACGATTAACCATGCATTATTTCTACGCTCAACTTTATTCGAAAAGAATAAGATTTCTTTAGATCGAATTCTAATTTTATTATTGATCAATTAATTTGTCTCATTCATTCAAATTGTTTCACCACCACTCTGCATGTGATACATCAATACTAATTTTTAAAACACTTTTCGACACAATATCGTATAACTGATGTAGTTAATTCCATTTAAGTGCTTATCTAATCTTATGAATCTTCATTTATTTTAATCGGTATCAAGTGAATTCTTTAGCTTTTTTGATCGTCCATTCTTATTCATAAAAAAGCATTTTAACAGAGAAAGATTAAGAATAAAGCATATTTTATTTGCTAACCATTTCAATATTTAGAAGTACCCAATCCGATCATACGATCAGAAAAGCAACTTCACTATTTATTGAACATTCAAATTATTTAAAATATGATATTTTAGATACAATCGATTGAAAAAGAAAACTTTCTGTTTAGAGAGCATTAAGAAAACTATTTTGCTTTTAATATTACGACTTTTCTTTTTTTTTTTATTCAGACAAAAGAATAAGAATTATTTGTTCCTTTTGTTCAACCAATTACATATCAACACACAACAATGAAAATACCGAAGAAAACACCTTTTTTACGAGCGAATCTTATTCTTTGTAAAAACCTCAGTCGTCAGTACGAATATACTTTCTTTCTCTTTTAATAGTATTATCTAATGTTCGAAATATTTAAAGCATCTATCCGCGGATATTAGTATAATTTTTGGGAAAATTTAAGAAAGGACAACTTCATAATATTCGTACGCATAATATTGCATTTTCTTCTAATTGCGAATAATGAACCACGATCAATAAATCAATTTAGTAAATGGTGCGCTTCTATTTTCTTTCATTAAAATAACTACTCAAATCAACACTAACCTATCTCTTGTTAAAATAATCTTACCCGAAATATGAAATAACATTGTTATCTACGTTCATCTAATCATTTATGAATGGATACTGGTAAGTTATATGAATTATAGTTTGGATAAAATAATAATCGCAACATACGATTAAGAAATGACCTATTTAGTATTTCATATCCTGAAATTAAGAATTTTCTTAACTGTCTAGGTTGGTACATTTTTTGACAATATATTCTAGAAATATCAGCAAGTAAAATTAGACTTTTAAACATCAATAGAAATAATAGTTAAACTAAAAAATCCGTTTAAAAAATCTTTTTGATCATTTGAAACAATTTCCAATTTCAAAAAATAAGTAAATCATTAAATTACAAAATTCATATCCTTTAATTTATGTATCCGATTACTAACCATTGTCTAGCTTAAATCTATTTTCATGAAAGTTTGACATGAAAATAAACCTTTGAGCTAGAAAAGTAAAAAAAAGCTTTTTATTCTCTTAAATTAATTACAAGCTATAGCCAGATTTCTATGGATTTTTACGAACTATTGATATGAAAAAAGAACCTTTGACATCGAAAATCTAAATTAAATCTTTGCGTTGCGATCATTATAATTATCTGACATAATCATATAATTCACCACAACAAATTCTTCTAATACTTCTCAAAAATAAATATATATGAATAATAAATAAATGTTCACAAAGGCAATGAATCATGCGGCAGTAAATCCTGTAATTCCTTGTATAGATCTCTTATGCAATGTGCCCTCTATTACTTACGTTTATGATTTACGTTTTCAGTAGCTGTAGTTTCTTTTTGTGTTCGCCTCTTATTATTTTTCCTGCCATATATAGAAGTATTCGATGAATGATATAAATATGAACAATCGATAATAAAAGTTAATGCTGTTGTAAAAAAAGAGCATTACTGATTTTTTCCATCCGCCAACCCTTTTGAAATCTCCTGGATCCGCCACTGGTTTATGTTCAAGAAATAAATGATATTCTTCTTTTCAATTCATTTGGTGCATTAAACCATGCGGGCAATTTCTTAATTTAATACTTCAGAGTGATGATGATAGATTTTTTTAAATTTTTTTTCTTTTTTAAGAATAATCATGAACTCGCTATTGCTAGTGGTTGAATAGCTGTTGTTGTTCTTCGATGTTTAACTAATGTTCCACATGAACCATCTTCTTTAATATCACAATCACAATCACAGTCACAATCACAAAAAAATTAACATACTTTTCATAACATATATCATCATCTTTATGACAAACATTAGCATACATTTGACAATATACCATTATTTCATATCTATGACAATGATACCAATGTTGTTTAACGTATTCTCTTTGGATTGATGAATAAAGATGATTTACTTTCTAATCTATTCGTGTATCTGCATCATTTTGAGAATCATCATGTTCATGTTCGGATTTATTAAATTTAATTGAAAATTTTAATTATGATGATTCAATAGTTGATAAATGTTTTAAAGCCACTAGAATATGATTGATATAGGCAAGTAAATAAACAGTTGTTCTGACTTTGACAATATTATAATTAAAAAAAGTAAGCGGTTGGTTCGAAAATGTGAATGAAGGCAATAACAAGAAATGATAATAATAATGGTGAGGAACTACATGATATAGAAAAATCAATAATTTTGAAGAAAATTAATATTGAAAATCCTAATGTACTTTTACTTGGTTTTAATAATTCATTTTCGAATTGTATTAATACAAGTAAAATTTATATTGAAACTTTTTTCCCAATGTTATTCGTTCCATTATCATTTTTCTTAAACAAAATTTTTAAAGAAACTTCAATAAGACAAAAGATAATATCTCCTGTAGTGGTTTAAGTAAGGTATGGCATCAGTAGGCGACTTCCTCTCATACTTGGAACCGGTACAGATTTTTTAGACCGGATCGGATCGGATCGGCCGGCCTACATTGGTAATTGAACCGGCAAAAACCTGTTGCTTGTATTATATAGTCTGACCGATGAAAAAGCTAAATATATTTTTTTAAGGTATCATAGATAGAAACTCGTCTAAAACCTTATCTGCTTCTATATACTTATCATTATGAGAAAAATAGTGTTCCAATGAGGTATGCATCAATACTGTTCATTATAATATAGATTTGGATCCTTTGGCAGTGTTATGAATGAAGGCAGTCACCAAACATCAATCATTGCATAATGCAAATCAAAGCAAGCAATGATTAACCAGACTCTGAGGAAAAGATCCAATTTTGATAAATCTCTAAATATTTCAGGTATATTATCTCGAAAAAGTGAAGTAGTTACGACAAGTCAGTTGCACCCTCCTGTATTTTCTGATTCAGAATAGCCCTTTTTTTTATTTCTTCCTAAGCATATATTAGTTAAACAAAATAATAAAAAACGATAAAACAAAGTTTCCATAATCTTCGATTACTATTTCATAACGACTATTACAAACAGCACACATATATATGCTTATATGCGTACGTGTACGTGTTCCATATTTGTATATCAATGTGATTTTTACTGTTTATAACAACCTAATCAAGAACGACGTACGTGCCCTTCGAAACATCGTAAAATAAATTAAACACAAAAACGGAACAGTGAAACAATTTTTGCATAAATATAATGTTTGTCCCAACAAAATCATTAAGAAAACTCATGTCTAAATAAACAGAAAAAATAGACTGAACATCTTTGAATCCAGCGAAGATACACTATAAATATATCAAAAGAGAAAGCAAATTATTCAATAAGTGTACAATTGATTCTTCAAGATGTGGATTCTTTTTTCGGATCGCTTTAAATTACCACTACAGTATAAAGTGCAAACGTATCGTTCTGCTTGTAGGTTGAAAACGAATAAAGAATAAAATCACCCGAGATAGACCTTTCCGGGCAGTACAGTGATGCGAAAATTAATGTAACACTGATATTCTATAATGTTTTCGCCCCTCCTCTCATACTTAAATTTTCAATTATCAACATGATATTTTTGTCTGTTATGACAGATAACATCTATAGAACAATTATGCCTTTTTCATAAAAAAGGTAGAAAAAACCGGCAAAGACCGGACCGGAACGGCAACAGGTCGGCCGGTTCCAAGTATGCTTCCTCTGCTTCTCAAGTCTCCACCTACCAACCGACGAGAAAAAATGTTAAATAAATATTTAGATACTGAGTCATTTTCTAAGAGAGTGGAGCACTGCCCATCTATTCATGATTTTCTGGTTATCCGGCTAGATTCAATATGAGTTCAATTAAAAACTATTGCTCCTCAAGATAAAACATGTCTTGTTTATTTCGCTTGTTTGCACGAAAGACGGAATTGGCGAGTGACATGGATAGATTGCAAAAGCTGCCGGTATTCAAAATAATTTTAGCCTATGGTAGAATTAAACCTGAAAATAATTGATTTTACAATATAAATCAAATGTGGCGAGGAACTATTTTTTTTAATTCAACAAAAGTCAGAATTGCAATCTATGATTTCCATAATCTCATTAATATGTATCAAATCATGTTCACAATAACAAGAAAAAAATCAAACATGGCAAAAAACAACACCACAGAAAAAAATAGGCGTAGATATTACTTTTGTTGTTGTTGTCATCGTTGTTCCCAGGAGAATGAATCCTAGCCTAGGATCCGATGAGTTCCTATTGGAATCCGACGGAGCTCTTCGGAAAGCGCAAGGAAACTATCGGATTCCTGGTTCCGGAATCGATATCGGATCCTAATATCGGAAACTAGTAAAATCCGACAATAACCGTCATTCGGAACCGGAATGCTTCGAATTTCATTGGTTCCGACAATCGGATATCATTGGAAATACGACTGTCGGATCCGACATTGATTCTTCAACCAGGAATCCAACGGGATTTCGTCGGATGGTAGGACCTCATAGAATCCGATGGGATTCGGTATCGGATTGATTCACCTGGGTTGTTGAACTTTTTTAAGTCTAACTTCGTATTGTTCTAAAGTCATACTTCCCATTTTGAATGCCTCGAGTAATTCGAAATATTTTCTTCGTTTTTCTTCGTAGTCATTCTAAAATGAGAAAAAGCAATCTTTCATTCAATGAAATAGAAGTCGAATAATAAATAGAATAGAATCTATCAGTACGTACTGCTTTTTCAGTCATGAGTGAATGTCTGATTGATGAATTGAATATCTCTTCTTACGAAAGAAAGAAATGGCTCAACAAACATCGAACATTAGGATTTATATAGGGTGAAGAATGAGAAAATTCTCTCGATGAAAAAATGACAGCTGATAAGTCGTCTTTATAAAAATTATAATTGAAGAAGCATAGCGGACGGAATGAATTAGATAAATGACGGTCAGTGATGTTCTCGTCTGGGGATGTGTCAAATGGCTTCAACCTCCGTTATCTACGAGGGTTTAAATTGACGTTTAAGGGGATACTAGTCTGTTCTCTATTGAGAAACTCACAATAAATAGCCTACCGTGACCTGATGATGTTGTGATGAAAATGGTGATGGTCCGAGATAGGTTTGATAATGGTTTTTATTAATAAATATCAACTATTAATATAATATGTTGATAGGTCGAGAGGAGCAAACGAGGAAGATCAGGGATAGCAAGGGGGAAGACGAAAAAAAGGAGAAAGTAACGAGATGATAATGGTTAATCAGATAAAAGAGAAAAACTGAACTGAAAAACAAGGTCAACTGACTCTAAATAGAGAAAAAAAGGAAAAACGCAATAAGAAAAGGGAATGACGCAAAAAGGTCATCATGATATTGTGATGAGTGACTGTATAATACGTTCAAAGAGTTAGCGTCATAAGGTGACATCTGTTGACGCTAACACGGTCATGAAGAAATTTCGATTAAATTATCTTTCCTCTGCTTTCGACATAAATTTCAATAGAAGAAATTGTCTTCGAAATTAAAAGCTCCATATCTATATACATGTATTTTTTCTTTTTCTTTGGAATCATACATGATTACAACATTATTTTGTGCCTAAGAGAAAAACAAAAAAGGTAAGGTCGAGATAAGCTGCATACAATTTCTACATACACTAGCAGCAGTGTCAACGTAATTCATGTTGTTGATAGTGCTCGTGTATTTACGAATTGTATGTAGCTTATCTCAATCAAAAAATAATAGACATTTCGATTGTCACTAGCTAGAAAAGTCTCCATTGATCTTACTTGATTTGACTTTTTATACACATTCGAAACTTAGGACCATTTCTAATACAGAAAAAATAAAGACATTTATTTGAATATCATACCTTTCGTTAAGATTCATCATGTTTATCATGTTCATCATCGGCTACTAATTTTATTTGTTGTTCAAGTATTCTTTCTCCAGCTCGATTTTCTCGTTGTTCATTGAGCATTTGATTGAAGTAATGTTCATGTTGATCATGAAGATGGGATAACCATCTTTGTTTTGATTTTCGATAATTAAAGCCACAAAAACAAACTATATCATCAGAATCTAGGCAAAAAAGAAAAATAAATCAGTTTAATTAAATGCTTTTTCTGTTATTCAATAGAAAAAATGTTAAAGAAAATAAATTTTTTTCTTAGTAAAGCTATTTCTATCATTTAGTAAAAAGAAAAATCTATTTACGTTAAATCAAGAAAATATAGTATAATTATTTAGAAAATAAATTCATATGGAAATTTTTATAGGATCATAGCCATTCCTATTAGTAGATTAATTTTTTTGCTAATTTCTGTTAGAAATAAATTTAGCAATTTTTGAATTTTGTTTTATACTTCTATCTTTTACTATTCTTAATACGGTTTGAAATAAATTAAAAAATTGATGGCGAACATATTTTCTCATCTAAATCTTATCTATTTGAAGACTAAATATACCAATCGTACAGTTAAATATGTACATAAATATGTGCATATCTATATGATAGACATCGCCTTTAATTACATGTTAATATTTATTGCTATGACGAAGAGAATTTTATTTGATAAAAATTAAATTAAATTTCGTACTATGCTTAATTTCAAAAAATCATTTAAGTATAATCATATTTCTAGTACAATCCATAGGAATCTAGAATTTCTCAATAATGAATATAGTTTTTTTTATCTTATGTCACTGCGTGATAAACAACAATGACTTAGTGAATTAAAAAGAAAAGAAAAATAAAAACGAATCTTACTGTTTTTTGGTGGATCAACATCATCGAATAATCGTGTAGTTGATACAATGAGCCATAATAAAACTGAATCAAAATTTCTAAAAACTTTCAATTTTCGTTTTTTTCTTCTAAAATAATTAAGCTCTAAAAAGAAAATAAATCAGTTCTGTAATTATTTAAATTTTATAATGAAAAAACGTTTTTGTTAAAATATTTTATTTCATATAAATAAATCGAAACAAAATAAATATTAACTATAATGTTGAATTTTCAATTATTGTCGATTACCATTTGAATTTGATCATCGAACAACATATTATAATTGTTTTATAAAACTAATCTATTAATTTTCCAATATTTTAATATAAATAAAACGCTATAAAAATCATTGTTTCCGTTCAATAAAACAAATCTTACTTTATTTTTGTAAGGTGCACGTAATTCAAACTTACAGCACTTCTTATTTTTTGCTTAAATATACATTAAAAAATTTGTTTTTTCAAGCTGATCACGAATATCTACTTACTTTTTCGATTCGAGAAAATCTTCATGGAGAAAACGGCAAAAAACTGAGAGGGTGTAAAAATCAGCAAAAAATTGCTTTTTGGGAAACAACGTTTACTTTTTTTCCGATCAACTTTTAGTTCTCACCAATTTGATTTTCTAATTCCTCGTAGAAAAATGAGTCTAGATATGTTATTTAGAGCTTTACCAGATGTTGCATATTCAATTTGAAAAGATGAGCTTTCAATATGACTCCGCTTTGTACTGGTTCATTCTGTAAATCTATCTAGTTTTTTTCTCTGAGAGATAGAGCTTTTATTCATACACCATTCGAAGCGCCATTCGACGAGCTACAAAAATATGAGTCGATTCTTTTTAACATCATTTTCCTATGTTGAGAAAATGTGTCTACAATGGTAGCATGAGAAAAATCGATCTAGTGATTTTTCAATAAAAACAAAATTTCTCATTCAAAACTCGTAGAAATACGGTTGAATAGATAAAAAAACGATTCAGAATTCAATGGAAATGGTTTCAGTGCTTCTAGAGTGTAGTGAGTCGACTTGTGAAACTTCATCGAGCTATAATCTGTTAGAATTGAGATTTAGGTCCTATTTTACACTTTTTATCTTCTTTTATTGGCATGCCATAACAAAAAATAGCTAAACACGAATAAGAACCTAAAAAAATAGAATAGATAAATTTTATAGTAATAGAAGAAATTAAGCATACACGAAGTTACATGTATTAATTGCCAAGATTAGTGTTTGTGATTTTACGGTGACTGATGATTTGATCATCATACAATCCACTAAGAAACATTCTTAGTACTTCAAGATAATCTTTCCCTTGATCGTATGCTTTGATTGTTCTCCAAAATCGACGAAAAAGTTTGAGGTGAATCTGCTTTTGAATGAAATTTGCTTTTGCTTCAGGCATTAAAGTTGTTAATTTTTGAAAACTTTGATCTGCATGTTTTCTTATATACTGTTTTGAGTGACACCAATATCCTTCAATGGGATTAGTTTCGCAATGGTACTTCGGCGTAAAAATTATTTTGATATTATATTCAACCATTAATTTTTCAAGTTTCCTGACCTACAATTGAAAAAGAGTAGACAAAGATGCGAACCACTTATAATATTGAATAAGAAAACAAATTTCTACTCACGCTTTTAAAAGTTGCATGTTGCGATAGCAGCAATTTTAAATCATTGAGTTTACATTTGCTTGGGACAAAGACATTTAATTCATTTGCTATAGCCAGTAAACCTTTACTGTATCCATCATCATCATAGCATTCGATAGTTTGTTTTTTATTGTTTTCATCAATATAACCGATCTTATCAACAGGACACCGGGCCCCGGGTCTCATTCCAAAATCATTCAGATGGATTTCAGCTGCTGTGTGAGTTCTTGAATTATCGACGAGGCATAAGAAGTTATGACTTTTATATTCTTTTTTGAATGGTAATAATTGAAATAGACGTTTCAATTGATTCAGAATACTTTGATTATTAAAATAATTATCGCCATCGAGGGCGATTGCAGCAGAAGCACTATTCTTTTCATAATTTATATCACAATCATCATTTAAATTCGGATATGTTTTCAAGGCCTCTGAATACTCTTTTTCGGTCAACGAAAAGAATGGTCCACTTGGATGCATTACTAATAAATCCGAACACATTATGCTTCTTCCTCTGCCTTTGTTGTAAAACGGCGCATTATCAGGCATAATCCATCGTTTAGCTGTAATTTCTCCACATTTGTATGTACTTTCATCATGGCCCACAACAGAGGAAAGCAACAGTGAACATATATATGAGTTTTGAAATGAAGAAAAAAAAGAAGCACTTACAAAGTAAAATTGTTGGTGCTGTTGCTGGTATTCCCCACTGTGGCATAGCATCATTTGTAATTGTATAAAAATGCTGTTCACGCTCAATAAAATATTTGACAAATTCTTGTCGATGTTTTACCACATCTTCTCGTTCATATCCAAGAAAGTAAGGCCGGCTTGAATTTGCTGTGAATTTTACACCAAATATACGTAAGTCTAATCTACAACTTTCAACTGATCTTACTAATTGTTGATCGATTTTCTTCAGATTATTTAATTCATAAAAACGTTGGTCAATAAATCTTGCCAAAGTTTTGGCGGTAAATGTTGCTTCTGTTTTCGAACATTCTCGATAAACAAATTGCTTTGCTTCTAATTCTAAATCTGGATAACAATCCCGAAACGAATCACCTCTTTTCCCACCTTTCTCATCAATTGTGAATTCATCAAAATCTTTGTTTACTAAAATGTTGGTCCATTTGTGACACGTTTTTATAGTCGTACCACCAATTGATGTTAAAAAAGAGTCGACGGCTCTCCATGTATGACCAAGATGCCGTAAAGATATATATATATATAAGTACGCTGATGAAACGAATGTTAATTTGTTCTTTACAAAACGTGAAAAGATCACTGATATCATTTAATACAGATCCATTCGAAAAATTAATATCATTCATATCTGCACACTGAAAAGAAAAAAGGTACCGTACCTAACTTAAAAAGGTTCCGAATTTTGAAACGAATTCTAAACCTTTTTAAGTATCGTAGAAAACTGGTTTTGTATGAAACTTATTCCAATAGACAAACTTAAAATTAGGTTTTGCAAATTAAGTTCCACAATACCAATTTAATAATAGAGCTGTCATCAAGCCGGCGTACTAAGTCACCGGAAAATATGACATTCAAATCTGTTTTGCCTTTTACATTATATTGAAGTAGAATAGGAGTTTGATTGAGAGCATCATTATTGAATCAAGTTATCCTTTTCTTGCGTCAGAAATCTTTACGTCGATCATCAAACTCCAAAAACTCATATTATCAAATATATCCCTTACACAGAAAAGGAATAAGCGGGGTCAATAATGCTGTTCTCAGTTAGTTTACCACTCTACTTCAAGATAATATAAATAGATCAACTCATCTTGAATTTCATATTTTCCGATGGCCAGAGAGGTCGTTATAATGGCAGTTCTGCTTTACAAAGCTCGATGCGGAAAGTTAAAACGTCAGAGTTGCATGGGTATCATCGCAAACTCTTTCTATTATTTCAAATTCACCCAATTAAGGTCGACTCTTCCAGAATTACCGTCCGCAACAGGTTGAAATTCTCTTTCTAGTTGCCTAATCTTAGCTTCAGAGATTAAGACTCTAGGGAAGGCATGATAAGACGTTCAAAATGTAACAGGAGGATACCAAACGAACAACCTTACTTCATTGACTTTACATAATACACAAATAGAAAATATTTCAATGAATTAGTCAGACTTGCCAACTATTAAAAACACTCGGCCATAACCAGATTATTGACTTGAATAATCAGAACTGAGTCAAAGTTTAAATATGACATCCATATCGATATCAATACTTCGGTTTAATAATCATGCAATAGAAAAAAATGATCTTAGTTTTCGCGTTGAAATGATATGCCAAATTGTTTTGTTGGGCAATCTGAATGAAAGAAACATATCCCAGACAGACACGACCCCAAAAAACGCGTAAAACGCTGTTTTCACGCACTCTTCATCCGTTTTTCACCGTGCATTCATCGACGAATTTTTTCCCACTAAGAAAATCATCGTTAACTAATGTCGATTTAGCTCCTTTTACATTGATAAATCCGTTCAATTATGGACACCTTTTATTAAGTTAGAAAATATTTCGTTTTTCGATGCGATTCAAACAAATTCAATTCGTATTAGCCCATTCGACTATGAACATTTTAGATGGAGTTAAAAAAGATTTCGTAAAATGTCAACGGAACCAGTGTTCGTTCCGTAGACTATCCGAAGCCTTCATAGTTTTTGCAATTAACTCTTCACCAGTTTATTATCTATGTCAAACTTTTCTATAGCTTATCGGGGTCCCAGAGTCCAAATCCGTCATCAGTTCACATGTTACCCGTTTGGAGTATCTGTTCATATGTTACGCACTTGGGTATCTGTTTATACGTTATCGACTTTGGTATACCCAAGTCGGTAACGTGTAAACGAATTCCCAAACCGGTATCGTCTTAATAGATACCCAGGTTGGTAACGTATGCCAATATGTTATTCGGCGTAGAAAGGTTAACGTTGACGAAAATTGGGAAAACGCCCATTTTGAGTCGTGTTGAATGCGTGGATTTATAAATGGTAAAAAGGTATAGTTTTGGAACGGATGAAAACGGTTAGGTTTTGAAAGCATTAATCTGCGTAGGAAAGTTAACGAAGATAAAAATCGGGAAAAGCGCACATTTTCATGCGTTAAGAGCGCGTTGATTTGTAAACAGTAAAAATGCGTAGATTTCTAATTGATAAATACGCGCTGATTTTAAACGTGTTCATTACCGTAGAGAAGCTAACGGAGATAAAAATCGTAGAAATGTGCGCTTTTTACGATTTTATTTTCGTTAAAATTTCTACGAGTATTTCACCGTTTTTTTTTGAATTTTGTCTGTCTGGGTAGTCTATCTTTCCCAATACTCCTCTAGAGATTTGGGTAATCTGCTGAGGCATGAGGCGGGATTCTTTGATCGAGTAATTTTGCTATTTTTTACATTAAAAAATTGTGACTGTGCTAAAAGTCGTGTCTTACTAACTTTGCGAAGGAAAGGTATCAGAAGCGGAAATTTTGAGGTTAGTAGTTTTAAACCTTGATCTTTCGAATGCGCATAAAAAACACCAAAATGAATTTTATCGAGTGCTCGATACACTGGGGTGTTCCTCGGTCAGCTCGCGAAAGCTCTCTTAAAAGGCAAGAGTTTAGAATTGCCCATTGATTTGTCTTTTCGTTAGAAGATAAGTTGGTCTGTTTTTGAATTCCCCCTCTCTTTAATCGAGCATTACTAATCATACCCATCAGCATTAAACAAGTTTCGCAGTTCTTTGAAGTGTTCCAATTGCTCGCTAATTTGTTTAATTTGTGTCTCCACAAGTTCGACAGCGGGGTGATTTTTATCAGCGCATGTCAATCAGAGACTTGAGATCCCAGATAATGAAAGCCGCACTGAAAGCGACCGTAGCACCTTTCACCGCGTTGAATGCTGCTCGTTTCGACACATTTAAGCCTATTTTCTTCAATACTGACGAGAGCACAATAGAGTTAGGTCGCATGCTATTCAACATTTTGCCTCCATTTCGCAACAGCATAGTTCTAGAAGGCTTTTCCATATTTCTGGCTATATCACTGACTTTTCACTGTTGCCTGGGTAGCTTCAAATTGGTGCGCACAAATAAGTCGAAAGCGTCTATAAGTGCATCTTTCTCATTTCCATTTTTCCGGAAAATTCGTCCATCCTCAGCTTCAATTTGATTCAGATAATGGACAAGTCTTTTTGCAACACATTTTCTTCGGATATCAATTTCAGCTAATTTGGCGCAGTACTTTGTTGTCCAGATCCCGTCAACAACGTCTGTCCCCGCATTGGTAGCTGCTCCTGTCGCAGCTGTAGCCGCGCCGAAACCAGCTAACGCAAAAAGGGAGACCCCACCGGTAAACGGTGTTGCAATAATGCATCCGATGGCAACCGCCGAACCAGAAATTGAAACCGCAGTGCCCGCTGTTTTGACAACAAAGCATCTTTTATGGTGCGCTTTAATATCGTTCACCAATTCTCTTAACAGTTTGAGGCAATCTTCTGCGGTTTCACTGTATTCGTTTAAGCATTCTTCCATTGTAATACTCCGGCAAGAAGTCTTGTTTCAATCACAAAAGTTTCTATTAAAAAACAATTAAAATGATTTTACAGATATCTGTGGTGGGACAGAAAATACCTCATCAACATCAGCTAGACACCAATTACGTTATTAGGACCATGTTGCTCGCATGGCACTGGAGCGGATGGCCAAAAAGGTAAAAAAGTGGAAACAATGTGAGAGTTGGACTAGACCCGTTGGAAGGCCCAAATTTCGATGGCGGGGTGGGATTAAAAACGCCTGATTACGATTGGGATCAGACATTGGATACTTAGCACAGTACTTGGTACTTTTCGTACTAAGTACATGAAAATCGAAAGTACCAGTGTGGGTGTGTGGGTGGGTGTGAATGTAAATCTTTGATTAACACACCCACACCCACACCCGCAAATCTATCTAGTTTTTTCTATGAAAAGATAAAGGCAAGTATCTCACCTCACTAGAACCGCTGAAATACAAGTTTTCATAGTATCCATTTATGTTTTTTAGATTTTCTTTCATTCTTGAGAAAAATGAATTTTCCGATCTCGTCGGTGAAATCTATAAAAAGGTCACTGGTATTCACAATTTTTTACTATCATTGTATTACCAAAAGACAAAATGAGTGTCATATTCGGAATCATCGTCAAAAACTGCATCGAATGGCATATGTTCCAGCGAAAACTATGTTTCATCAAAAACATTGCCTGGGGAACCAAAGGTGAAGCTTTTTCAGAAAAAGAGCTGAGGGGAGTAGAGGTATGTTTTTGTCGAAACATAGCTTTCGCTGGAACATAAAGGGTGTCCCATAATAACTGAGGATATTTTGTTATTGATATTTTTCATACTTTTACTCAACATAGAGGACTGAAATTTTTATCAAATATATATCTAATCAAGATCTTTTATTGCCGAAAGTTCCAGTTTCCTAGCTACATCCAGTGGTGAAATATGTTGACAAGACTGAAATACATAAATTTCAAAATGTCTATTTAGTAATGACTATGTTTGACGTCATCTCGTTTATAGATAACAACAATATCAGCAAACATTCTTTTTCAATAAACTAACACTGTCTGTGTTTCAAGTTCGGTTAATAAACATAAAAGATATGCTGATAATACTAGCTGCAGACGAAGAGATGCTTCAAAACCAACAGCCACTAAATCAGTCGAAAAAAATAGAACAGACTATTTCTTTTCAAATTATTTTTATATATCACCTTTTTAAGCTTGTATATTGGAATCAATCGTTTGATTGTGCGATGTAGCAAGAGTGATTGTGACTAACGAAACTATTAATAATATGGTCCTCACGAGTTGCAATAGTATTAAAAAGACAAATTTCTCCTTTCCAAAAAATAAAAAATTGAAGTTACAAATTAGTTTACGTTGTCTCCGATCTAAACTAAAACTGTAATATCTAGGACTATAACAGTTCGCAGTTCAGTTCAGTTCAAACGAACTGTTCGAGCAGTTCATCTGAACTGAACTGAACTGTTCAAACAGTTCAGCTCAGTTCAGTTCAGACGAACTGTTTTTAACAGTGCAGTTCAGTTAAGAGGAATTTTGAACAGCTCCTCTGAACTGAACCGAACTGTTTGAACAGTTCAGTTCAGTTCAAACGAACTGTTCGAACAGTTCTTTTGAACTGAACTATTTCCGAACTGTTATAGTCCTAGTAATATCATAAATGTGGCGACGACGATCATTTATCGCACAACAAACTGCTTTTTGGTTTTCTGCTTGAATAAAGTCACATCTTTCAAAACAAGATAAATATTTAGTGTTAGAAAATATTTCACGCAATTGCGACCGCTATAAAATTGTTTAGTCCCATGTAAATATAGTTTTTATTCTATTTATTTAAATATTAATATACCTAACGATCTTTGATATATATATATGCATCTAAATTTGCTCTATTCATAATGAATGATGATAACCATGATGTTGTTCGAAATATTTCTATAAATTTTTATTAATTTTGCGCTTCCAAATGCATTAGTATTCTGTATTAAATATTTTAACGGTCGTTTTCAAATAATTGAAAGTGCAGTGTTGTTCAAGACAAATTATTACGAAATATACGTCCATCTAATGCGAGAGATCTGACTCTTCCCAATATATGAATGGTAAACTGTCATATAATGAATATTCAGTGAATCACTGATGTCTTTCATGTTGAAAATCAGTCTGGAATTTTTCCAATCCTTCACTCACCATAAATTGGTGATACTCGTGGCTCGAGCAGGACAATTAAAATTTGAAAGTGTGCAACGAAGGAATACAGATTCAATTATGTGTTGCCATTTCCCCGACATTAATTGTAGTTCTATTTGGAGACAAAGGTATTCTTAAAATTTCAAATTTAGTGCTCATTGTACAATTATTTCAAAGTTCTTCAATCTTTCGTTCAAATCATCGATGATCATTTGTCTTAAATGAAAAACATGTCGCTGTTGAGAGCATATGCGTCCCTAGTAAATGAGTTCACTTGATACAAACATTGGATATGGATGCATTTTAATATGGATGTGTATCGTAATGGAATTGTAAATGATCAAATTTGTAATTGAAGTGATATCAAAAATGGAGCTAGAGTAGAAGTTTTCATTAGCATTGATCATATTTTTAGTTTAGATACAGGTAGCACCCTTAGTGTACTTCACTCTATGGAATGCCTTTCCAATACACGAAAACAACTTAGTCGTGGTATCGATGTTAAAATTGGTTTGTTGAATCAATGATTGAGTTAATCGTATGTATGATATATATTAAACTCGCTGAGAAATTTCAAAAATAGCATCAAAATTTCGTTCAGTAAAAATTCGAATTTCATTACACATTACATTTTCACTGGCCGAAATAAGAAAAGGCTTAAAATGACTAGTATTTACCTGCCATTAAGAAAGATAAACCTACTACTAGTTACGTTCTCAATGGTCTATTAGAAAATTTTGGTAACGATGACTCTTATCAAGGAACAAATCGACTTGTTATGTCTTTTGGTTTTCATATTTTAGTTGAGTCGTATATACAGTAAGAAAACAGTGAAAGTGCAGGCTAGACAAGATATATGTTGATGATTTTAGCCGGCTTGTATGTTCGGAGTTTCCACAAAAGAGAAGCAAAGAAACAATTTGGAAATCTTTATTATAAATGGAGATCATCTAATTTTACTGTAAAAATCAATTTATCTCAAAGAAATATCTGTTACCGGAGTGATTTCACTTTTTTTCTTAAATTTCGTAATTCAAAGTGAAAAGTAGCTAAAAACTATTGCTACTGTTCTAATGTGTGCATTTCAAAACGAAACGTTTAGTTTTGGTCAAAATTCGATGCATGATTAATCTACTGTAAACTTGTTCACAGTTACTTCTACCTTAGAATAATAGAGAACACAATGGTCACCATATTCGTAGAGAATTTTAAAACTGTAGATTTGTTTTTTAACTATTCATGTTAAGTTAATTTCAATACAATTCATTTATCTCGAGAGAAAATTCGATGTGAAAGTAGAACAAAATATCGTCAGTTTGAATTAAATACGTAAGAGTTAAAATGCAAATTGCCACTGAACAACATTAAAATCAGTCGGAGCTAAACTTTCATGCTAAAGTCAAGTTTTCTTAAGATCGATGGTGTCATTAGTCCAAATTTGGATATCAATCGAACGATTCTTCTTCGTCCAATGGTTCTAATATCAAGGTTTTGTTCAAGTTAGAAAGAGTGACATAATATTTAGTTAATAATTCAGTTCCAATAATTCCTTCGGTTTGGCCCAGTTGTAATAAAATTCGAAGGGAAGATGGTAATGAGCCGAATATTAACGACTCTACTTTTCCATTGATGGCGACGTCAATTTTGTAAACTTTTGTTTTATAAGCACCTATCGACGGATAAAAATCGTCGACCTCACCAATCGAATTGCCGACAAGAAGATCATCACTTAAATATGACAGCTTTGCACCAGTATCAAAAAAGATTCTTCGATTTTTCTGTGCAATACTCAAGAGTATAATCGGTATACCCATCACAGCGGCCACAATAGGCACTGTAATCGCCTTGTCTGTTTGGAACAAAGGTGAGTTCGAGAACGTTATTTGTTTTCGGGTAAATTGAATATCAAAATTAGCGAGAATGTTCATACCAATAAGCCCATCTACTTGCAGTCCGCTAAGTGTGCTAATGGAATCAGCCGTTATTCCATGTAGACCACCATCGAATATCGGAAAACTTTTTCCATTGATGCAAATAGTTGTGGCACGCCCAAATGAAACTGGAGAACCAGTGTCAACGATGTATTCGAACTTGTTTATACCAACAATAATATGGCCATCGAGAAATTTGACATCAAACGTAGTCATTATACTCTACTATATTGATTGTTCAACTTTTACTTCGATCAATTAAATAAGATCTTTTTTATCTAAAATTAATCATTCGTAGAAATGCCTGTAATGATTTATTAAAAATCAAAATAATTTAATTAGCTATAGAAAGAAAAACTAGCCATGCTCAAGGACTGAGTTTTAGGAATTCTTTCGATACTTAAAAACGCCGCACAACAGTCATAATCACATCAAGAAAACGCGAACTCACGACCGCAACTATCACATATCCTAACTCATTCCCTCATTCATATTTCGGAACTAAATCTGAAAATCGTGATAATATCAAACAAAAAATCCTTCACATTAACCAAACTAATCACTTTGCCAGCACGAATAATAATCAGTTCCAGGGGAACGGAAGAAACATCCAGAACTCATACTCGCTCTCCATGGATGGAACTGTTAATGTAATCCAAATCGAAAGGGTACACACAATTTCAAACCACATTCCGCACCCATTCCAAAAAACAAAAACCACGTGACCTTCATTATTCCCCTGACAGTGCCTAATAGATAATTGAAGCATCTTCAGGGAACTCAGAACCACTTCCTTCCAGTAACTTGAGAACGGATGTCTTTGATGAAAACCTTTGAGGAATGCTTGCGTATTCAGAAACTCTGCTACACAGTTCCTCGAACAAAATGTGAGCTAATCCTTTGACGGTAGTTGGGTCACTCCCTGGGTACTATCAGCAGAACTATCACAATTCCTCGGTTCCCCGGCCCGTTTCAGACCCCAGGATAAGTTTAAACTTTTGTGTGAGAGACAGTTCCGCAGAAAACCGATGAAAGTGGGGGTGAATTCCTAAAATATAGCTTGGTTAGAAGCATCTTGGTGTGTCAGTATGTTGCTTTCGATAAGGTTCACGGGTTAGTCTTGGATAGCTCTGACTCTATGTGTGATTGGTAGTCAATTCTTAATGGGCTTTTTTTACTACGCTTAGTTTTTTATAGATGAATTCCTATGTTAGGGATTGGCATCAATTTCTAGATTTTACTGTCGGACATTGTGTGTTACACTGATGGTAGGCAATCCTACGGAAAGAATCGAGTTATTGTGGAGGGATTTTGTGTAGTATCTTTTGAAGCAGGGTTTTGATGGTGAAAAGCTGATTGCGATTTTGGTCAGTATTGATGGGAATTTGTGTTAGGTTCGAGGAGTAATCCTCAGTCCTTGGGCACCCCTCAGGAAAACAGGATTTAGCACTTAATTGGACTTGATACTCTCATTGTATTTACCTATATTATTCTAGATTTATATGTGTTCGCTATATTTTATTGTATTTCAACAACGTTATATTGCCCAATAATCATGTTATTGGTACAAAAAAAACGAAAGTTGTGTAATTACATACCGACTGACAAATAATAAATAATACTATCTTAAGAATTATGAAACATTGCTTGGTGTTTGTTGATGTACGAGACGTGGCCAAGTTCCCATGAGTCGAGAACTCTTCGGGAATTGGGAACTCAAAAAAAAAGCATCAGCGAGCGATGTGAAACCAAAGAACTCTGGGAAGTCAGGGACTCCACAGGACCATGGAAAGTCAAAGAAGTCAACGAACTCAGGGACTCCAACACATCCACGATACAGTGTAAATGTATGTATCAAGGAGGGTAGTAGAAGACACCCACACCCACACCCTGAGTTCCTTGGTTTCCCTGACTTCCCAGAGTTCCTGGACTTTCCGGAGTTCGTTGGTTTCCCAGACTATCCAGAGATCCTCAGTTTCACAGACTTTCCTGGCTTCCCAGCGATCCATGGTTTCCCTGGCTTCCCAGAGTTCCTTGGTTTCCGTGACTTCCCCGACTTCCCAGAGTTCGCTGGTTTCTCTGACTACCCAGACTTCCCTGACTTCCCAGAGTTCCTTGGTTTCCCTCAAGATGTTGCTATGCTTTGGTTTATCATCACTGATTCCTATTGATTCATTTTTGAGTTCCCAATTCCCAACGAATGCCGGAAGAGTTCCCGACTCCTTGGAACTTGGACACTGCTGTGATGTACATAGAAAAAAAATTATTTTTTCAAATTTGAAAATTATAGCTACTTGTCAAATAATAACTACTTTATTAGATTATAAGTTTTTGAATTTCTGCAAAACATATACGTAATAGTATACCTTCAATTGTAGAGAAGCAATAGTAAATTTGTTTTGAGTAAATAACGTTACTCAGTGACGATTGCTGTTTTGGTTTCTTTCTTTTTGCGCAATTATGAGTTTTTGTTGTTCGCCGTGTACCAAGAGAAATACGAAAACAATCTCGAATGGCGGTATGACACATATTGCGCTGATGAGTAATAATGCATTACACTCGTCCATAAAATTTATATGCAGATAGAAGCAGAAATACATGTATTTCGAACTGTGCAACTAGATCGAAATTCTTCTTCTGTATCGCAATGGAGTATCCATTACATATAAACGTACATATTTAGAGTATGTAATTAATGATTCATTCGAGCGCACATATTTTCTAACAATCATCCTGCTAATGTAAGATACAAGAAAGAAAAAAACCATACAGCAGATGGATTTGTATTTTGCAACGAGCCTTTATTACTAGTCTTGTATCATTTGTATATCGTTTATAAAACTGTAAGGCTAAAATAAGATTTAGAATTTATTTATTTATCAATCAGTATATTGATGATCTTGTTTACAAAAAGATTCTTGTGTTTTATATGACAATTAGTGTTCAAAAAAACTGTCAATAATCGACTCCAGCATTGGTGGAGTGTATCGTTTGTATTTTTCTGGATTCTGCGTAAAATCTATGTGCGCAAATTGGTTATAATATGTTTTGAAGGGTTCCAAAATCATTTTTTTGCTTTCAGTTCGTAAGTAATGGCGTAGATGCGCATCATCGACAATATATTGTTGATTTTGATTACGAAGAGTATCAATAATTTCATTCACTTTCGCAAAACTTGCCTTTAATACTTCTCGGTCACCTTCTTTAAGCTTAAATAAGAATAATATCAACTAAAATCATTGAGGCAAAACGAAACTGACCGGATTATCTGAGGAGTGTTTCACACTTGGATTGTTAAGCATTTCTCGAATAGTCATGGTGAAAGGTGTATAGCTGAATAGAGAAAAACATAATTGGATATTTTATTTCTAGGCATTATTCGTGATCCCCAGCAATGATATAAAATCACTAGAAACTTTTAGAATTCATTCTTTATGGTCAAACCAGAATCCTTGTTTCTGCTTCACTCAGTAATTAATGACTTCCAATCGAAATAAAAAACCCTTTTCAATTCTTTATACTTTCCTATGTGGATTGCAGTTGTTAACACAGAAGTTAGAGTAAAATATTCGACATGCGTCAAATTTTTATGAAGCGAACTCATTTAAATGTTTGTCAATCCAACATGAAGTGACTGCTTTTTTTGTGTCCTGATTCGAAATTGACTCTGATATGGAACAGTTTACCTTCTGGTTTTTATTAAGAAAAGTAATTTGTCGATTCTTGTTCTAGGTTCACTCTACAGTAAACACCGAAACATATGTATTTCTTCGACATTCCAAAATAGGAAAAATCCAATCGTATGATATAGTGTCTTCTTATTTATTTTAGTTTTCTTCTGTATACAACCTGTAACCTTGATGTCACTATTGACTGATTAGGCCAAATCGCCATACACGATTGTCCAGCGTCGATAAATTCAAATCGGTAGATTAGAAAAAATAGATTCCTGACTACCTTATGTTGTATTATACTGAATCTTCGTACTCTCTCTGAAAAAGGCAACTTTACGACAGAAATGAATTATAAAGTAATTCAGGCTTATACATAATCTTTATTCAAAGGTTCATAAAACTCTTTAAAATGCTTCTGCGATTTAATGTTCGCTATAAATTTTATTTTATGAGAAATCAACACAGATTATCGTGGATGATATGATCCTATATGAATTTTACTACATTATATTATTCAAAAGGAATCAAAACCTATTAGGATCCATCCCGTATGTTCATCCTACAGTGGTGCTCGCCCCCTCTAATAATATCTGTAGTCTCTGATACAGTAGTATGTGAATTATTTGCTAAGTAGTTTATCTGAAACTTTTTATAATTGATATATATCATCTAATGGAAAGAGCTTTTAAGTGAAAAATATTCCAAAAGTCTTCTCTATCAAGGAAAGATTCATAATTCAGATCCATCCTGAAGGGCAAACATTAATCTCACGAATCAGTCCGATCCCAATCGGATACATTTAAAATACTATACCATTTAAGATAGGTTTGTACACATTTTTGTACTGTTTCTTTTAATTGTGCTTTGATCTTCGGCTGTTTATTTTCAATCATAACAAAAAACGGTGAACTGAACAAGACGCAAAATAAAGAGAGATAATTAGACACATTCAATTATTTTATTACCTGTCTAATTGTTTGAGAAGATAACTAGTATTATTGAGAAGAAATATGGCTCGTCTCATTCTATCATCATGTGGAATGAGTGTGTTCATCTTTTTCATAATATTCTCGATAAGATTTTTAATTAAATCAGCTAAAATTCGTATGAAAACATAAAGTGAAATAGAAAATATGTAAGTTAATTCTTACAAAAGAAATTTTCCAAATTGAAAAGATATTTTTCTTCAGATGGTGAATCAACAATATTTGACGAATGACTAAATCTTTTATTACTAATCACATCTCTATATTCGAAAAGACCTTCCATAAAACTTAAGACATTCAACATTAAGGGATGTACACTGCCATCTTGACTCAAAGATGATGAATCATTTTGAACTTCTCCCAATATCGTGTCAAGACATTCTACAATCTATAAGTATTTTAGAAAAATAAAATGTAGAAAATACTCCTTACTGAATTTTCAAATATGGCCGAGAGTATGATTTCGAAATGATGTTCAGGTTTTAAATAATTTTCCTAAAATAAAACAACTGTTACTATTTAAGAAGAGTACTCATATTTGTTATCTTCATATATAATTAGAATGAAAAAATAGTCGAATGTGAATCAACAGTATCTACATATTTCTAGAAATTTTGAGAGCCTGTAATAAATAGTTCAACGTACATCGTAGAGCTTGTAAAACATATCCTCAGATTTATGAAACCATCGAATAATTGAAAATAGACCATAGAAAGCACTCTTTCCAGTATCTATCTTATCAGATAATTGCTGGATCTCAGTACACAAGTGTTGTGCTTCTTGTTGCATGTAATGCAGTGGTGATTCAACTAATTTCGGTAAAATTGACGTTTTGAATTCATCAGAAAAAGCATAGAAGAGTAAATCGAAATCACGCAACAAAAGAACAATTAATGCATCGAGAAGAACTTTATAATTATTTGTTTCTTGATCATTGCTAAAAGGCCTAGGCGACGACGACTTATCTACAGAAAGATCTTGGCTTGGCGCCACGTCTGGTTCTAACCACATAGATTTGCATATAGGTTTTCTACGATTGGTTATCGGTGAAGGCGTCAAATGACGTATGCCACTACTAAACACAATTTGAAAAGAGACTTGAAAAAAGTAATTGATTTACGTCAGTGTTGTTTTTAGTGTGCCACGTAATGACTCCAAACTGACAGAAGCTCGGCGTGCAGTTGAACGACAATTATTAGTGAGCAAAGTGCCAGAGTTACGACGCATGCATTTATTTTGTAAGTGTTCAGCTAACCTACGACAAGGAGAGTACGAAATTCTAAGAAAAAATTAAAACAAAATCAATACGTACGACTGAAGAGCATCATGCATCATGGTGCTTCTCTTCGACGCATACGAATTAATAAGGGCTTGTTGAAATCCATGCTCTAGAAACCACTCGAAGATAATGCGATATGTGCCTAGATCGAAAGCTGTATGGAACTATATTTTGCTAAAACATATTTTTTAAATTTTCTAACCGTGTGAACTTTCAGCATCGATAGGTGTTGGCGATGTTAATTTGCATAAATCAATTAAGTCATTAGGTGATATTTTATGAGTATGGCCCAGTATTAGATTGTCACTTGCCTCGATGAGTTTCTGTCGTCCAGTATGATACAATTCAATGGCACGTTTTTCCTCACCGATAATTTTTATAGATTTAAAACATTTAACAATGTCATCAATTCGATCTAAGTCGACGAGATAATCCACTATATTTTCACTTGATTCTGTTGGTTCTGTTTTTATTTTTTCAAGTAATTCACTGTAGGTTTGATAATACCAAAGGATAGAGGCAATAAGTGAAGTATTAGGATCTCCGCGTATAACCGAACACCGTAATTCATTATTGACTTCAGTCGCCTTTTTAATACGTCTGTAGACTGCCTGAATTGTCCGCTCAGCATTTTCTAATAGTTTTTGGGAGTCATTTGCTTGTATGTTTGATTGTGATGCTGAATGGGTCAGTAGCGCCGAAGAACGCTCTTCCTATTTATTTTAAAATGGATATCAATGAATAATAAACAAATAACTAACAGCAGTCCTCCTATTCCACAACGTTGAACATTCCAGAACCAGTTCCGTCCTGGAAACCAATTCCATCGATTCTGAAATCAGATCAAACCCGACAGCAGTTATTCAATTTCGGAATTAGATAGAAAAGGAGTCGGTGAGTATTCTGGATTTACAAATTTCATTATTATTTAATCATCTCTTATCCATCTAGTGATGACCGAATTCTGGAATTGCGTTTTGTAGTGATTAACAGAAGTTGGGAATTGTGTTCAACGTGATAAACGAAATTTCAGGAATGAGATGGAATTGTTTTTGCACGCGAAAGTGGTTTCTCAATGTTTAACATCGCGGAATAGGATAGATACTTAGTGACTGTTTTAATAACGTAAATATTTTCTTTCCTTACCGTCAATAGTTTTGATTCCAAACTTTTTTTAGCATTCATTTGATCGATATTTGCTATCAAGACAGTTATCTAGAGGTAATGTAAAAAAGGTTCGATGAAAATATATTTATTACCAATTTTAAACTTTCCAATATGAATGAGTTCACCATTAGGCGAAGGAGTAAAGAAATTCTAAAGTTCATACAAATATCTCGATCTTTTATGTAAGAAGAAAACGATTCTCATCAATTGAAAAAAAAATCTTCTCTTTCAATGCGATTCGTTCGAGTCACCTACAACGTACTTCCTATCCAGTTATTAGCTCTTTGCACACTGTTGACGTTTGAAAGCGAATCATTTTATATAAATATTATGAGTTGCAAGTTAATAAACAGAATGATTCATGACGACACTATATGCAGCTGTACTTAAAAATCAAGAAAATGCAAACTTTACACATCAAGGGCAAAACTTTCAAGTGAAAATATGGAATTACTTCCGCCAGTGTGAACGCAGTTCTTTTTACAATTCTGCTCTCTTCTCCTTTATATTTGATTGTGACACAAGAGAAAACGTAATATGTTTAATTAAATTAAGATAATTCAGTATCCTGCCATAAAATAGCCATTTAAAATATCATAATATATTTCCTTGGGTGAAGATATCAATTATTTTTTCGTATTTAGAGACACTCAAAAATTAAAATTTCGAGACTTTCTAAATTCTGTTATTTTGATATAAAATATCCGCTATCTGGTCAACCTTCATACATATGAGGACTCCAAGAGTCTCTCTCTCTCTCTCTCTCTCTCTCTCTCTCCATGTGCTCCAACATTCATGCCAGACTGTATTTGATAAAAAATAATCATACACTTTAAAATCACTTCTTATGTGTTTCTAACAGGTACATTCACCTAGAAAAATGAAAATTTTATTTATTATCTCTAGATTTTAGTCGTTTAGTAATAGGCTCTGATAAAGCCACAACAGACATGAGCGTTCTCCATCGAGATAAAAAAAGCAGATAGTAAAGTAGCACATTCGTTAGGATTTGCTGATGACGAGTCATCCATAATGAATAATTTATGCAAGACACTATAAAACTAATGATAACCAAATAGATGCAGATTTGTTCGTTGTAATAGAGTAACTGAAGCATTATTCAAAAAGGCTTGAATTTATTAGCAGTGGTGATTTTGTGACAAGTGTCTTCGTATATTAAAAGAATCCGTTGCATGAATTTCAACCTCGGCAGTCTAATTTAGATTGTAATTATATTGATACAAATGCAGTGTTTGCGAAATCATTTGTTTTCTTGGTGTTTTAAAGGAAGAAGAGGAATCGGAGATGTTTATAGAGTCTAAAAACTGATGAAGACTCGACATTCACTCAGATGTCATTTCACTGAGCTGCACGCTTGCCTTACGATTAGAGGAAAATGTTTTGGCAATAGTATTTCAGAATAAATTGCACCTAACTTATAGCGATTTATATTTACTTACGTATTAGTAACAAAATGAAATTTACAGAACCATAAAAATATATGTATTTAATAAAATTGAAATGGATCTACAAAAGCTGATATTGATACAGCATTTGCATAAAGCCCAGTGTAAGATGAATTCCTATCGTACGTTCAGTCCGATTAAATCCATGAACTTTAAGATAGGTAGGTCTAAGTTTATACTGATTATCATAGATCGTGAATTACAATTTCATTTATATGTTTTACTAACAACTGCCAAAATGAGTATGCATGAAATTGAAGGTATCTGATTAAAACACAAGCCATTAACAATTTAATCCTCGGTTTGTGAGCTGTTTATGTTTAAGTTGTATTTATTTTCTAAAGTTTCCTAATTAAAATTTAAAAATAAACATTTCTTTTCAACTTGGAAAAAGAGCTCTCAACTATCATAGCTTGCGCTTAAAAATGAGTCGACAAATTACATGATATATTCATATACTCTTTCACATGTGCACCTCTCTAAATGTACATCTAGACATAATAAAGAAGAGTACAAATACTATTTTTCGATTTTTAAACGAAGTTCTTACATTGTTTACAATAAAAATTAGGCTAAAAAAAGTACTTCTTAAACAATAAATGCGTGCCAATATGTTAAGGGTCCTATCTAAAAGAGTGATTGAATGTTTTTCATAACTATTTCAACTGCAAGAGAATGCTGACAATATTCTAGCTATGGGCAAATATCGCCTAAAAATAAATACGTTTCAATACAAAGCTCATTAGCAACAGCCCATAGAAGTATATGTTTCTTGTTGTTGCACCTATTCAGGGATGGTTTTGTTCAATATTCAGAAAGCTATGCACTTGTTAGATTATTTTTGATTATTAATTACAGAATATTTGTTGAATTTCGATCGTACTGCTGCTTAAATATGATGCGTTTCTGTTTTTTTCTTTCGTTGGCATCCTTCTACTAGTTTCCTTTTTCTTTTACATCTTGCTGCGGAGTCACGCCCAACATTTGCATATTTTTTGTATTGTGAATAGTTTCGTAGTAAAAATATGGAACAATGTTGATTTTGTTTCCGAAAGATAAGCTATTTAGAACTTCAAAAAATCGTTCCAATCAATTATGAAATATTTTTGTAACTTTCTTAACAAATATTAAAGCTCGTATGATCTCAAAATTATCATTACCCACTATACAAACAAGATAGATGAATGGATTATGATAGGCAGATTGAAGCATAAGCTAATCAAAATATCTGATAAAGAGTACTCTCTAGAAATGGTACCGAGAAAAAGTTTAGTATGACACCTTTTTGTTTTAGAGAGTACAAGACAAGCTGTGGGATACACTTGAACTAACGCAGACACATCTATATTGAACTGCTATTTCGCTATCTGAGATCGTGACAAATTCCTTGAAACATCCTGTCTTCCGCTTTATTACATGTTATAATAAGCATGGCGGCAATTCGAGTTAACTACTGAAATGAATCTGCTATATTTCATAATTTTATAATGGAAAGATTTTCAATGAGATATTAATCTTCATGGCCTGTATTTAATTGAAGATTACCTATGCTTTTCTATTGGATGTTCGTTGCTTGTTACTTATCTACATCCATACTGATTCAATCACTGTTTTCAAAAGAAATGTGTTTTACTTTTTTACGGTGCGAAGTACTGTATAGCGATCCTTTGAGAAATTTTTTTCTTTCTCGACATTCGCATCCAAGCTCCATATTTTGCAGCGTGGTGATCTCAAGAACGGCACGTCGTCTGATACTCGTTAAAACATCATAAGAATCAGAAAGATCTGAATAGGTACCAACTTTTGACCGATTTGGTTTACGATGTTTCGTTCGCCCAAAGCAAAATCTGGATATTATTAATAATATGTGGATTTTATTTTCCTTAAGTTGATCCAAGCACATCGCGACTTGGCGCTGATCTTAGCCGTGATTAATTATCGCTAGCACTAATAATACGCGTCGACTGTACAATTGCTGACATCTTTTTGATTAATTATCAGACGTCTGTAGGGGACCACTAAAGATTTTATTCGTTATATTTAAACATGAAAATATGATCGATCACACTATCAATTTTTCACACCATAATATACGAAAAAAACGCATTGTTTTGGAAGGGCTATGTACTTCTTAGGAGAGAAGTAATTAACTATAAATAATAACAGAGATTCCCCTCATTTATTTTATAAGTCGTATTCTTTCGTAACTCGAATATCGTGCTTCGCACCGCGTTTCGTAATCGAGTGAAACTCGAATATCATCTAGTTTCTTACTGTTTTCTACAGTTGTCAATTGCAGAAATATTTACTCAATTATATTTCTTGGTTTCTTTACTGAAGCCGAGTGATTTTCTTTTCATTTTTACCTTATATATTGTATAATTGAAGAATTTTTTCAATCAATACTGTTCATATTAGTCGATCGAACGTGTAGAAGTAATAAAGAATTTGATTCGCAAAACTGTAAGTTCCTACCTATAGTATAATATCCCATTTAACCAGGAGGTGTTGTGTTGTGATGTATAAATATTACAATATCTAATAACTAGATTTAGTCAAAGAATATTGAAATAAAGATACGAAAATGTCACAATCATTGAGCCTGAGAAGTGTATGGGAGGGAAAAGGTGCGAGCACAAGCACTTTAGCATCAAATAAAATGAGAAGATTTTGGCCATTCAGCTATGCTCACTCACTTCTTAGAGTAATTCTCAATAATACCTCTATTATGAAGCACTCAAACTGACTATTCGGAAGAAAATTTGATGACGATGAAAATTAGACGATTGCTTTTGGCTATTATTGCTATTTTGGCTATTACACTGCTGGTACTACTAGTCGTCGCAGTTTATTACGCACACTGCATCGACATCGATCACCCCCCCCCCTACATTATAGAAGACCACTTAAAGAAAAAGTTTGTCCAACAAAATAGAAGACTCCCCTTTAATTAATTAATTTTTTGCTAATTACGAACTTCAATTAGCGTTTTTCCATCAAAATATGCCTGATTCTTACGAGGGAGGATCACCAAGTGTTCAATCGCTTTTGCGTTGAAACTACGTACATTATGTAGCTTCCGATGAGTTATGAATACGCTAAAAATATTTTGGGCGGATAGCTTATTGTGACGAAGCTAGGCCACTTCTAAGGGATGACCTTTTTTGGCTGGGGGGGGGGGGGGGTGGGGG